GGGATAAGGGGCTTTACGATTAACAAACATAACGTGGGGTCAGGGGCATGGGGAAGGCAGTATAACACATAGTGACTCTATAGCATCTTACTACACTGATGGACAGTGACTGTAATTGGGTATATGGGGGGGACTTGATAATGGGGGGAATCTAGGAACCACAACACACAATGTTGCTCATGTGATCTTACATTAATGATACCAAAACAAGCAAACAAACAAACGATTTCTAGAGTTAAAAATTTTTTTTTAAACTTTAAATTTCTCTTGATGTTTTCTTTCTCTTTTTCTTTTCTATAGTGAAGTTAGTTCTGTTAACAATTATTTACAAGATGGAAAAATATATATAGTAGTTATATAAAGAGAACGAATGATGAGGACTCTGAAGAATCTCTCTCTGTTAAAAAATTTTAAGCCTTCAGATAGGGCCTTACATGAAAGGCAGAAAATCATAATTTAACACATTTTGGCAAAAACAAAACCCAAGATTCTAAATTCCTTGTTTTCTGTCAGTATGTGTGTGTTAGAATGTGTTGAGAAGGACTGAGGAATTTCAAAATGAGAAAGAAAGCATACCACATATACATCTGGAGGCAAGAAAGTGAAAAGACATGGTATAGAGTCCAAAGATGAGAGATGCTACAAACCAGCAAGACATGAATTTACTTCTTGTGTTTTGAAAGTACCTGTTTTCCCAAACTTACAAAGAGGGCACTTGAGGTTAAGAAATCTCCAAAGAAGCCTTAATCTTTCAGATTGTACTTGTTATTAGTCTTTTGGTAGCAAATAGAAACCTACCTCAAACTAGCTTTGACAAAATGCAGGATACATTAGCTGTCAGTGTAAACCAACCTGGAAGGACAGGGAATGAAATTAAATCAGAGCCATGTCTCTTTTTGGGGATTCTCTCTCCATCTCGTCTTCATTCTCTCGTCCTAGAGACTAACTTCCAGGAAACACAGAGGAAGAAATTCTCCTCCCATAGTTCCAATTTGAGAAAACCTAGAGAAGGCTCCTGAGAGGTTTGCTTTGGTCACAGGGTGAGCAGAAGGGGATATGGATGAAGTCCTCCCCAGAATCACAGGAGGAAGTGGTTCCCTATTTGAGGAGAATGCTGGGCATAACAAACAATGGATAGCCATTACCCAGATTATTATTTTTTATCTGTAATATTTGAGAAAACAGATTAGTCTCATAACTAATGAATAACCTAAGGATCAGAAATGAGATTATAATAACCACCATGTTCTTTCCGTGATTGTTGATCACCATGGTGAAATCTGTTCATTCATTCACTCAGTAAATACTGTGCTAGGCCCAGTACTACAAACTGACGGTCCTAAGGGAAAAAAGAATAATGTAACGGTACCTGCCTTTGAAGTTTTTGTCTTGTTAGGGCATCTGACGTGATGGATGAATTATACTACTGGGTCAGACTTATTGGCTGTAAGCAACAAAAATAAATTCATGTAAATGGAAAGGGAATTTATTAAAAGGATATTGGAATAGGGTTTGGTTCTGGGTAAAACAGAATAAGCATACTTTATCCTGTCTGTCCCACTGCATGCAACTAAAAGCTCTGGGCAGAGTGCATGTAGCTTCTGAGGACTCTGACGAGTAAATGTTAGCAGGTGAATAGGAAAATGAAACCTGCATTTGAGGTATAAAAGTTCTGGCTTTAGGTTTCCTGGGGTTTTGTTTGCCTGTTTTTAACCAAAATTTAAAATTTTTGTCTGCAACAGACACTGTTAAGACAATGGAAAGACAATCTATAGACTGGCAAAAAATATTTGTAAACCACATTTTCAACAAACGACTTTTATCCAAAATACATAAAGAACTCTTAAAATTCAATAATAAGAAACAATCAACTCAGTAAAAAATGGGAATAGACTTTAACAGACACTTCATCAATGAAAATGTATGAATGGTAATTAAGTACATGTAAAGTTGCTTAACATCATTAGCCATTTTGGAAACATGAGATACTATACACCTATGAGCACAGCTAAAATTAAAACAAACACTGACAACACCAAGGGTTGAGCAAGGATCTAGAGCAACTGGAACTCTTGCTGGTGGAAATGCAAAATGATACAGCTACTCTGGAAAAGTATGACAGTTTCTTATTAAATTAAGCATAATTTACATCTCTTCAATTCTATTCTTGGGAATTTATCCTAGAGAAATGAACTTTATGTTTATGCATAAGCCTGTACAATAATGTTTATAGCAGCTTTGTTCATAATCACCAAAAACTGGACTCGACCCAAATGTCCTTCACTGAATGCACGAATGGATGAACTGTCTGTACAGTAGAACACTGCTCAGCAGTGAGATGTGATGAACGGCTGATGCACAACACAGATGGATCTCAAAGGCAACTGATGAGAAGTGGAAGAAATAAGTCCAAAAGTTACATATACTATTTGATTCCATTTATATGATATTCTGAAAACGATAGGGATTGGGGACAGATCAGTGATTATCAGGGGTTACGGTTTGGCCTGGACTTCAACACGAAGGGACATCATGAAGGATTTTTTTGGGAACTGTCCTGTGTCCTGATTATGGTGATGTTTTCATGAATCCTAAATTTTTATTAAAACTTGTAGAAATATGGATGCACACACACATTAAGAATTTTTGAAAGGTATTGGGTGATTCTTTTTATTAGAATTATGTTCAACTGCATATAACATACACACAGACACACACACACACTATATATATGTATGTGTATATATACACACATATATATATACACACACACACTTATAATAACAGAAGCTTAAAAAAGATGTTTATTTTTCTTTAATGCAAAAATCATCCTGAAGTGTGTGAGCCAGGGCTGGAATGATGGCTCCAGGGTCCTCAGGGATCGGGCCCCTCCCAGCACTGTCGGTCCCTGTCTCTCAAGTGTGGCCCCTGTGCTCACAGTGTTTACAGCGTGAAGGAAAGGAGGGATCTTCCGCTCTCTTTGGGATGCTTGTTGGAGGTTGCATGCAACATTCCTGCTTATATATCTCACACTAGCTAAGATTTACTCACATGGCTGCAGCTGCAAGGGAGTATGGGAGTGTCATCCGTCTGTGCAGCCGTGCATCTGGGGAGGAAAAACAAACAGAATTCTGATTTCCAAGGAAGATAATTAGGCCACTTTGAGTTTCTGCCACAGTCATACAACGGCCAAGAGCTACCACCATGGACAATTCCCCAAATCAAGCCTCAAAATTAGTCCAGTGCACATTCTGCTGCCCACTACTGTCTGCCCAGGGTACACTAGACCCTTCCCTACGTTATAGCCAGTGTAGTCCTGGAGTTTTACCAGAGCCCCGTCGTCCTACTATAGCTACAGACACTACAGGGAGAGCTTGTGTTTTTTCTCCTGGCTCCTGGACTGGCAAAGAATGTGTGAGCAACAGCCCAGGCTTCAGGAGAGGCTAAGAAAGTAAACCCCTGGCACACTCAGCCCGGAAGAGGGAAGAGGCTCTGCTTCCCTGCAAGGTTCCTAATCTGAGGAACTCCTCAATCCGAAAAGCGGGTCAGATGCAGAACATCCCCCAACACTCTCGACTTTTACTCTCAGCACAGAGTTGTGAATGCTGTAGTAGAGCGCGAATCCAAGTGCTGTGGGGGCCCTGAGGACAAGCACCCGGCTCCGCCTGTGGGCGTCAGGGAAGACTCCGTCCAGGCGAGCGCATCTCACGGAGTGGGCGTTTTGGGCAGAGATCTTGGGTCTGTCGGATTCTGAGTCGGACTCTGAGTCAGCCTCACTCTGTGAAGTACCATTGACAATGTGTTATAGAACTCCATTTTTCTGTATTTTTAGAAATAAAAATGCAGCAGTTTCCTACAAACTACTTTACAGTCTGCTTTTAAAGTTTCATTATGTTTAATGATTATATTTTCTATTTCATCTATTTCTTTTTCATTATAATGGTCACATTGTACTTTAGGGTATGAATCTTTCAGGGGGTTGTATTTTAAATATTTAATACAGCCTGAGAGAGTGACAAGAATACAAAATGGGGCAGGGATAATCTTTTAAACAAACTGTTGGAAAAACTGGTTAAGTATGCAAAAGATGAAAAAGGACACTTTTCTTGTACCACAAATAGACAGTAGAGACTTTCATGCAACATTGGCAGCCTTGTTAGACTTTAGACATCTTAAAATAGTCTTTAAAATTTTTGTGTATTTAATTTGTATATAAAGTTATTGAACATGTGCAGTTTTTAAAAAATACAATTAGGATTATAGTGGAAACCAACAAGCCTATCGTTCCCCACTCTAATTCACTTTTCCTTTTTGCATCCAACTTGCAACCCTTTTAGTTACGCCAGTTCTTACCTCCATGTATCTCATGGTATATGTTAGATGGCTCATACTGTTATTTCAGCTCAGAGAATGACTTTCTACCCTGGAATAAGAATTTACTTTTCTACTTCTCCCTACCCCAAATACCATAAACGTGTCATCTTCCATTATTATCCCAGTATTGCAATATGAACATTTTTAGTTAAATCCGTTTTCAGTCTTTACACCCTTATCACTGCGTAACACTATAGACAGCCTAGAAAACTTATATATACTATTATTATATTTCCCTTATGTTAAAAATTGCCTTCTTTCCTTTTTTGCTTAGTTTTCTGTGTAGGAAACAGTTCATCCCCAAATTCTGCAGCAGAACTGAAAAAGCTCCTTGTTATGTATTCAAACATGTCAGAAATTCTTTCAGTGATTTTCCTCAGAGGGGTTCTTCCTAATTCCAGCCTGAACTTGGTTCCCTGTCTTGGTCTGCAGCACAGCTGACGCCCTGAATCCTCCCTTCATCACCTCCTGGGCGTCCCTCTGTCCTCCCTCCTGTGCTGGAGCCTGTGTTACTTGGATCCTAGGACGTCTTCTTTCTTGGCTGGCTCCTTGGGTTTGATGCAGCATATATTCCAGAAACTTCCTGACAATAGGTGCATGGCACCTAAACAATTTTTCGAGACCTGGTGTATCTGAAATTATTTCCCCTCTCACACTTGGTTGCAAACTTTGCCGGATATAGAATTCTAGATTGGGAATTGCTTTCCCTCAAAATTTTTAAGGCATTGCTCCATTGCCTTATTGTTTTCTATGTTGCTTTTAAGAGGTCTGCTGCCTTCCGATTCTTGATCGTGTGTGTGTCACTTGCTTTTCTCTGGAAGTTCCTAGGATCTTCTCATTATCCACAAAGTTTTGGAATTTTACAGCAATGTGCTTTGATGTGACATGTCACACTCCCTGGGCACTGGGCAGTTCATTTTAGCCTATAAACTTGTATCTTTCAGTTCTGGAAATTTTCTTTCACTGCATCTTTGAAAATCTCCGTCTACTTTCACTCTTCTTTCTGCGTCTCCAATTCCAGGTCTGTTGGATACTGTGCACTGATCCTTATTCATTTTTAACTATTTATGTATTTTCATCTCTTTGTCTTTTGTTCTATTTTCTATCATTTCCTTCACCGTATTTTCTAACTGTTCCACTTGTTAATTTCTGTTTTTAATCTCTAGGTACCCTTTCTCTCTGCTTTTATAATTAAATAGCATTCTGTTCTTAGTATTTTAATTTTTTTCATTTTAATATTTCTATTATTTTCAGGTAATGTCCCAGTCTCTTCATAAAAAGCATATAGTTTGTAGATTCTCAAATGGGTCTATTAAATTCTCCTTCTAAAGCTGGTCTGGTGGAGCATCCAAAGGATTGGCAGAAGAGCTGCCCTACTAGGCTTCAGAAATGGGTCTTCACATTTGTATTGTGCGGATCGAAGAAACGATGTGCAAAAAATTTTATGATAATTCATGTCTGAGTCTTCTAAAAAGTGGATTATTTGAGAAATAATTGTGATCGTTTCTTTTTCGTTAGAGATTAATACTGTTCCCAGAATTGTCTCTGTTCTCACAGTCAAAATAATAGCCATCAGGCCAAGCCGGGCTCGGGGAGGAGAGCTGTTGGCCCTACGAGAAAGAAGCCGCTGCCACTGTCGCCGGAGAAATGAATGCTGGTCCGGTGCTCTGTGGCGACCGCTCGAGTGGCTGAAATGCGGCCTCATTCAAGAGACAGAGAGAGTGAATTCAACAAAGAAAAAAAGTGGTTTGCTTGGAAATGGTCAGACAAGTCTGTGCTCCTTTTCTCCAGCTGGGCCTGGGGCTTCTCCGGACTGAGCCTCCGACTCCAACCAGCGCCATTTCTGTGCTACGCTCCACGGAGGCTGCCGTGTTCATCGAGTCAGTTTTGACACATGCTGTTTCAGTATTTCACAAAGATTTTCTTTTTTCTCTCCTAGTGAGACTATACGCAACTTCACTTCCTATGTCAGAGAAAGCATTCACAAGGTAAGTAGTTATATTTCAAGGTGTTAGAACATCTTACATTTTAAGAAGCTTAACAATTATATTGACTTTGGTTCACTTAGAATAGAATAGCAATATTTTCACTACCCTTTATCACTAAGTAACAAGTCTCTGAATTAGTAAAATAGGGCAATAGTCCGTTAATTCTTTCTTAATCTTCCATTTCTTAGTTGCAGACATCTGTGGAAAACTTGGAGGAACATCTCAGTTCAAGAAGCCAATCTATTTTGGATTCTTTGGCGACTGTAGCCAAGACATGTAAGTGTCTCTTGTTTGAGGGTATCACAGGGGGCCCTTCCTGACCCCTGCCAGGTCCTGCCAGCGGTGAGGTGACGCACAAAGCTTCAGTGAGGCTAGCCCCCAAGAGGCGCGGAGCCCTCAAAACTGGGCAGGGGCTGCCTCTGGTGCAGGCCCGGTCCTCCGCCCAGGGACCCCACCGCCTTAGGGCAGATCGCTGAGCCACCTTCCTCGCCCTCTGCCTGAAGCGAACCAGCAGCATCCCCGAGTCCCAGAGGAGCTGCGGGTTGGGGTTCACAAGACATCGCTCCCTGGGACTTGTCAGAAACTCCAGTCCAGTCACCCACTGTTCTTGCTGCCTGGGTTTCTCTGAGAGCTGTTTTGTAGTGAATCATGACATCTTTCTCAATTTCAGTTAGTTTGTGGTTTGTAAAGTCCCCTGCTCTGCCAATCAGTGATGTATGTTTAGGTGGAACCATGGTCCTGGCGCCTACAGAACTCTCTCTTCTGGCAGACAGCACTCTAGAAGTAACAGCTTTTAGCTAAACAGTAAGGTGAAGCTGTCCGTGCCTGCACTTGTTTGCAGTTGTCTGTGTTCTTTTTTTTACTTTTAACAAATTGAAATCAACTTATTCAAATGCCGTGGGATGGACTGCTCATGCTTTACAAAAATTAATACTTTTGTGTGGCTTAAAAATTAATCCCCATCTGTCTGCACAGAAGCACTGGCTGTCTGCTGGCTTCCAAGCTGGGTATCCCCCACACAGGGCAACTGTGCATCTTCCTGGAACTGGTTCTGGAGGCCCAGGACTGTTGCCCTCACAGGAGGGAGGCACACCGGGGAGCAACTCCGGGTGCATCTAGTTGGGACGCAGTGGAGTGACTAGAGTAAGTGCCGGAGGGAAGCGCCCCTTTCCTCTCCACACGTAAAACAGGTGAAGCACAAAAAATACCAAAGGTGTGGCATCTGAGGCCAGACCGGGGTGTGGCAGTGCCCGAGGCCCTGGACTCTGTCCAGGCAGAGAACCGGAGCTGAGTCTGGCTGGCAGCTGCCATACAGACCCCGATCCCTCACCCCCAACGGTTCCTTGGCTCTCAGAGGGGCAGACTCAGAGAGGGAGCCACACCGACGGGGCAAATGGCAGCAGACGCCAGAGAGCCAGGTCCTTCTTGAAAATGGGTGCCAGTGGCCTGTCCAGAATCACTCCCTTTCTCGGTAGGCAGTGATGAGGACCAGGAAGTCGGTCACGGAGGGAAGCAGCAGACAATCAGACTGGAGGCCCCAGACCTCCCCGGGGCTCTCAGCAGCCAGAGGGGCCCCGCAGCTCCACAGGGGCTGCAGATCACCGGCCATGGGGGGAGGCGTCAGAATCTGACCTCATCTCCGTGGAGCCCTTGTCAAATCACTTAAGTAGAAATTAGTAAGAAAATTGTCTTCCCCAGAAAAAGAGATATTGTCCAGAATATGGAAATGGATCTTAAGTGGTATTTTTACAACAAAGCTAAAGTATCTGATGCTTACAGCCCAAGCAGAGATGAAATGAGGCCCCTTCTGGGGAACACACACACAGTCTATAAGCTAGAGTGGACGAGCACACGCATTAATGCGAAGCTCCAGACACTGCTCAGAATGTTAAGTCTGGGAAGTGGAACCATGGGAGATACTGATCTTTTGCATGCCTGCTTATAGTGTTATGGTTTTGTTATTTTCATAAATGAACTTTTTAAAAGAAAAAAACAGGATCGATTTTGGAAGTAATCAGCTCAATACAAAAGCCCCTGTGAAGGAGCCCCTGCACATGCCTCCTGGGGACGAGGAGAGGCGTGCGGCACAGGTGGGCGCTTTCTGACTGCGGGGCCCCTAACACTCTGCTCGCCTTCCTCATTTTCTGCTTTTGTGCCTCACTGTTGCTAAGAGACTTTGCTATTTAGGAATTCATCTGTGGCAGGGTGCTCACGTTTGCTTTCCACTGCCAGTATCAACAGGGACATCTGGAAAATGCTAAGTTTAAGAACAAGAATCCACTACTTGAAATAGAGATAAACAGCCTTTTCCTAATTGGTTGATTCATGGAATTTGACTTGTATTGAGCAACAGGAGATAATTTGCTTTCTAAAACATTCTTGGTTTTGTGGCAAATTTCATGACATAAAATTTTCCGTTTTTAGCTTTTGCAGGACCACCCTGGCTCGTTGGTTCCTGGTCCTCACAGCTGCCCCGGCCTCGTAGCTTTACGCATCTGCCGCCTCTACCTGGGTAGCCTTCCCTAGGCCGTGCAGGGCCAGCTCCTCTCCACCCTTCTGGTCTCGCCTTAAGTGTCTCCCTCTCTGATGGCCTAAGTAGATGCCCCTCACCCTTATTTTTACAATCCCTATCACAGCACTTACTAATATTTTCATTTGTTTATGTGCATGTTTTTCATTTTTTTCCTCTTCAAGACTGCAGGATTCACGTAGACACATTTATTCAAAACTGTTTCCATGCTTCTTGTACAGCATTAGTAATACATTTCCAGATAAAACTGTAAGTCTCCAATTAATACATTCAAACACATCAGGAATTCTTTGTTTCAGTTTCTCATTAGTGATGTCCTGCCTGGAGCTCAGTTTCTTTAGGTCCGAGTCTCAGGATTTCTCTTCATCCTTCTGAGGATTCTTTCAATTCATCTTCAGTCTTGAACCCGTTTCCTGGGCCTCACTTTACACTTGTGTTTGGAGGGGCACTTCCTCCAGCAACTGGGGAAGGGTGCGTGGAGTGTGTGTGTCCTGTGTGACACACCACGGTACAGGATCCTGGGCGGGACGTGCCGTGTGTCCTCTGAATGCCAGGCTGTTAAGGGAGCAGGGGAAGTGCTGCCAGGCTGAGGCGGGTTGTCAGCATGTCTGGACGTGTTTCCTGCACGAGATGTCACTCTGGGTTTTCTTTCATCGTGAAGAGTTAAGCCCTCTCCTTGCCAACTGTTTTTTCACTCGTCTTAAACAGTTTTGTGGAGCAACATCCTTCAGGTGGTTGTGAGCCGGTAAGAGCAGCTGGTGTGTTACTGCTGATTATTGGCAACTTGTTCTCACTCTGCATTTAAGATGCATGTGACCTGCAGTAGCCGCCCCTGCTTCCCCTCCAAAAAAGCCCAGGCTTCATTCTCCAAAGTAAAGAAGCCAGAAAAGGGTTCTCAAGTGCCCATCACCATTCTCCGTCCAGAAGGACTTGTGATGGCCCCTCCACCATGCTGCGCCATGGGGCTTGGCCGCTGTGAGGGCATGGTAGGAGCGCCCGCGCTCACCATCTTTGGAACAGCTGGCCAGTCCACCCCAATGCCGTGACAGAAATCCATCTTTCTCCCATCCCTGTTTTGACTCGGATCGCTGCTGATGGTTGCGCGCTGTGCATCCAGTCTCCCCCTGCCAGCCTATACTCCTTATTGCAGGAAGTGCCCCCCTTTAAAGAAAAAGGAAATGCTCCTGGAATCAGGGCTCCAGCCGAGCTGACCTCATGGCTCCTCCTGGAGTCTCTTCTCAGGTTGGTGCAGGGTCAGAAGCAGTTCAGCTAATGCCACTTCCTAACTTGCTCCTGGGATTGGTCTCAATCTCGAGGACCTCTCCTTAGTTCTTTGGGTAATTACTACCTGTCTCTTTTCCCTATTAAATTACACCTTCAAGAGGTTTTCTGTCTCTTGATCGCCATCCTGTCCAGAGCACCCGGCCCAGTGCCTCCCATGCAGTGGAGACATACTAGGTACTAGTTGAGGAAAAGCGAAAGCGTGTTCACATAACCTGTAGTTTAGCAGAAGGATGGCAATAACTAACGCAATACAACGCATCATTCAGCGTGTGTGTGTGTGTGTGTGCGCGCGCTCTCCCCAGGCAGGAGATCGGTTCTATGTGGGAAGCACTCACGCGGCCACAGGAAACGAGAGCAGGAGGGGAACGGGAGTGAGGAGACCGAGGCAGCGGCTGAGGGGTGCAGAGTAGGAGGGCGGCACGGGGACACAAGCCTGGGTCTTGTTAGCCAAAGATCTGGACCTCACCCAGTGGCCGGGGTGGGGGCCGCTGGAAGTTTCAGTGAAGGGCCCCAAGGGGGCCTGTCATCTCTGCATTCCAGAAAGCTCACTCTATGCCGGGCCAGGGAGGACGCTGTCATCTGAGCAGCAGGCGTCGGGCTCCACAGCCGCCGGGCCAGGATGTTCTCGGGGAGGGTGGGAGGGCGGACCAGTGGAGGAACCACCCTCCGACCTCCCTCCTCAGCAGGGCTGACCTGGGGAGACAGTGTCCTGGGCACAAGCAGGGCAGGCCCAGAGCTACAGCGTGTTCCAGCTCCTCCCTGCCCGGCACTGCAGCTGGAGGGGGGTGCACACTACAGTCTCCCCGAGGTGAGTTGCCATCACTCTGTATTTAGTGCAGGAGACGGTGCAGGCCCAGAGCACCCTAGTGCTGAAAGCAGTGCAGGACGGAGGCAGCACAGAGCAGGCCATCCTGGAGATGCAGAGGAGCTTCGACACTGTAAGTGGGGACCGCAGCCCTTTCCCCGGGCGTGTTTTTGGTTTTGTCACTAAGACCCGCACACACATCTTTAAAGTTGCCATTTTTCAGTCCAGAAGAGGCCAGTACAGGTCTTGAGGGAATGGGCCAGGGTAGAGGCCAGTTTCCTCCCCGAGGCTCTCCAGCATGACGTGGCCCAGAGGGGCCCTGCTGCAAAATGCAGCTGCACTGCCTGTAATGCCCTGCAAGGGACCGGCATGCCCTTGGTGTGCGCCATTTATTGTGCATTCTGAGTTGCACAACTCTCTTCTTCCTCACTGCCTTTCCCTAGACACAAGCAGAGTTTACAGAAATGAGGTCTGACCTGAAGCACCTTGAAGTTTTAGTTGCCCAGCAGAGCCAGGTCTTCCAGCAGCTGTGTGAGCAACTGGGCTGGGTGAATGTGCCCAGTGTCCTAGCAGAGCTGAAGAGGTGGATCTCAGAACGCCGGGTTCCCGGGTCTGTGAAAGACAGCGCATCCCAGACCTCACCACCTCCGGCCCGGAGCCGCAGATGCACCAGGAAGGACAGCTGTGCCCCTGCAGGACCAGTGATGTGGCAGGCCCGGGCCCCGCCTGCCACGTGGGCCCTTGGTGTAGGCTCTGTGCAGCCCGGGGCACTCGGCATCGGGGAGGAAGGAGCCCAGAGTGACGCTCTCCAAGACGACCCGGTGCTGCTGGCGCATAGAGCCTGCCAAGGAGCCCTGTGCTTGAAGGACAAGGCCGTGCAGACGAACCGCAAGGACAGGGCTGGTCGTAAAACAAGCCCTGAGCACCAGGGTGCCAGCGTCCCAGGACACAAGGCTCCTGGTGACAGAGACCTGGTTTCCCAAGGTCCTTCCAGACTCACATCCCTGGACTTGAACAACTTTGCAACCAGCACTAAGAACACCTGCCAAAAATGTCAAGCCAAAGGCATGTCTTTGTGTGACTCTTGCAAACACAGGTTGGTGCCCAGACAGAAAGGCAGAAGTGTCGGAAGGAGGAGGAAGGGCAGGAAGCTGCAGCCCAGGAGGGCCCACAGAGGCAGGAAGCGAGAGCCCACCCCGGAGAGGCCCAAACCCCTTGCCCAGCCACCAGTCCGCCCTGCTCGGGGCGTCACAGTCACAGCCCAGAAGGCAGTGACGGCAGAGCCAGGGGACCACCTGCAGCTGGGTGGACACGCCCCCCGAGACGGCCTGCGTTCTCAAGGCCCCCAGGGGCACCGGCGGACAAGTTGGCTGGGCAGCCTCACCCTCGGGCTTGCAGAGACCCCTCTGCGCAAGGAGCCGCGGAAGAGGAGGCTCTACGACCTGGGCTTCGACAGCAGCGATGATGGCTTCTGACTGGCCCTGGGTCCGCAGCTGCTGCTTGCTGGTTTCGGCGGGAAGAACCGCGGAACACTGGGCAGGCAGACAGCAGAAGCCCCGAGGCCTCCTTGAGGCCAGAGGCCCTGCTGCGGGGGGGCAGGGCAGGGCTTGTGATGGGGGCTGAAGGGGGTGGGGAAGTCAGTGGGGGTGGAGGAAGGGAGGGCTGCCTCCCCGAGGGCGCGTGTGGCCGTTACTGGGGCGGCATGACTCCCAAACACGTTTGTGGTCTTTAAAATATTCTCTACACATAGTGCCTTTCTGGGCAGCTGCAGGAGTTTTTTTGTAATCCAGTCTTGTTGCCAAAGCGCTCGAATCTTTTGGTTAGTGGCCATGTTACAGGACACACTGGTCACCTCGTGAACAGGGAAGCAGAGTGGGCGAGCTGCCCACGACAGAGGCCCAGAGCCCCGCCATCCACAAGCCTTGATGTCCCACCTTTCTCGGGGCGCCTTCTCCGCTGTCCTGTCCCTCGACCATGCGTACAGCCAGCAAGGGCACTTGGAGGGCCTGTGTCATTCCGGGGGGCAGTGGGCCTAGAGGGACTTTGGGTTTCCATTTTTATCTTCCTGAAGTTTTTGAATTTTTGCAATATATATGTATTTCTTTTGTAATAAAAACCAAATAAACGTTTTACTAAAGATACAGAGGTAAAGCATATGTTTTTTTTTTTTTTCATTAAGTTCGTTGTATTGACCTGCGGTCAGCTTATGTAAGGAAAGCAGACGAGGCACAGTCCATCTGTAAGTTCCTGAGCTTCTCGCAAGAAGATCGTGGAGGGGAACATCCTACTCAGGCCTTTCCTCTTAGGACAGTAGAAATCCTCCTGGATGGACAGCCGGCATCCAGGACTTGCCCTTTTCCAAGCCGGTGCTGTAGATGACGCTGGACCTCGCGTGGACGGTCACGGATAGCAGTGGTTCTTAACTTGGCTTTTATATTCTTTATTCAGGGCTGTGTACCCCGCAAATGTCTGAAGAGAGTCAGTTTGCCCGTGACCCCTCTGGCAGGGTGCCAGGCACCAGACGAAGCTGCGCTCCCATTCCCAGCAGCTGGCCAGGCCGAGGGGCTGCAGCTTTGGGCTCCGCCCTCCACCGGCCCCATGGGCCTGTGCGAGCAAGGCTCGGCTGGACGGAGCTCTGCCCCACGGTGGGGAGGCCTCCCAGGCCTTTCCGAACTGACTGCAGGTGTCTGTTGAGCAGTTGGCAGGACTCATGCAGACCACGGGGGTCTGTATCTGGAGATCTTTCATGACTCTAAGTTGAAAGTTTTATCATTTTAATTCCAAGTTGAGACCCTGTTGAGAGAACTCCATCAGCATTTATGACTGTGACCTTCTCACTGAAGTCTCTGTCCAACTTTGAAATGCCAAAGCAGGACCCTCTCTTCTCTGATTCTGTGGTGAGTTATGAAATATTTGGTTCTTCAGAAGTCTTTCATTTTGTGTAATGAAGCCGAAAGTCAGAGTGACTCCATGTTCCACAAACTGGGTGTTTCTGCAGAATGAACAATAACTCACCTCCTAATAAGGCTGGGTTCGTTAAAATTACACTGCCTATCTCCGGCAGTCATCAGGAGGGCTATTCTGATTCTTATTTTATTCCTAAGGCTTTTTGTTTTTCTGTGTCCCTGCGAGACTGGGTGCGTGACATTGCCCCAGGCACCTCCCCAGAGCAGGAAACAGTCTCTGGCTGTCTGCCTGCTGAGAGCTGAGGTTCGGGGAGGCCGGGATGGAGGGCCTCGGACGCCTAGGCAGGGCCCCTCCCTCTCCCCAGACCTGCTGCCGTCTGAGGACGCACAGGAAGCTACGCGAGCACCTGCGTATTCGATGTCACTGCAGAAGGGACTTTCCTGACCTCTCCTCTCCCACAGGAGCTAGCCCCACTCACCGGCCGTTCCCTCGCCCTGTTTTAATTTCCATCTCCAGTGGCGTCCTCGCCTCCAAGAGGGGGTCTGACACGAGCATACGGCCGATAGGCTCGAGCAGGCCCATCCTGCAAGTCGGCTCCCGACTGCATGGTCTCCCAAGGAGGCTCTCCTGCAAGACGCCCTCTCCGCTCTCCCAGGCCAGCTCCCAGCACCCCTCTCCATCCAACATGCCCAGAAAACAACACTTTTCTGCCCTCAAAAAAGAGAGCTGCTTCCTACAAGGGCTGAGCAGTTAAGAAAATGTTTCTATGCCACGTCCTAGGCCAAAACTCTTCTATCAAATCAGGCATTTTCCAGCTGGCCTAGCAGAGTCCTTCCTCACTAGGGCTAGGATACATGGTCAAGTATATTTCCTGGGCGAAACTCTGTTCATGGTATAAATATTTACGTGGAGCCTAAAATATTAATGCTCTTCCCACACACACCCCAGGAAGAACGCCGATTCCAGCACCTCAGACATCTGGGGCGGCGGCTACATCAGCGGTCTGCTGCCCGCACACCCCATTTGCTGGTCCTCGTTGCTGCACGTGCTTCAGTGGGAGGACGCACCACCCTGGCACCAGCGGAGCCCCCGGCCCAGCCGGTCGGGAGGTGGGGGATCGGCCTGTGCGGCCTGCTCAGCAGTGTGATCACTACGGCTCACAGCTCCTCCGGCGGCAGGACGGCGCTGCAGCCCTGTCGGCACCTTTCTGGGGGCCCAGGTGAGGGGCGCAGGCCCGGGGTGTCTGCCTCCCTCCCTCCCCCTCAGAGTCTTCCCTGGGCTTGGGAGTGGAGGGCCCAGGAGAATGCCAAGGAGCCAGGGCAGGTGGGCCAGGACGTGGCTCCCCAGTTCCCCTAGTGAGGGGGGCAGGAGGCAGGCAGAGGAGAGCCCTGGACCCAGAGGTGAGAAGGGGCCTCACTGCCCTGGCAGGAGCCATAGAGAGGCAGGAGCTGGCTATTTGGAAGGGCAATGTCGAAGGTTCTGGGTTAGACCCGTGTGGCTGGACGGCCGTTCCTTGGGTGTGGAGCACACGGCAGTCTAGACAGGGCCAAGGGCAGGGTCACTGTTTCCAGCCCACAGGCGTCCTTGAAGTGTCCTTTTGAAAGACCTGCTCCTCTGCTCCTCGCCAGACCTTCCTCCGCTCAACCACGCACTCACCCCTCCCCGTGCCGTTCCCCAGCCTCCCCTCTGGTCCCAGCTTCTCCTGGCAGCTTCCAGCTCCTGCCTTACTACTGTCACAAAGTGCACCAGGCTGCACGGAGCTGGCTTCTAGGAGCTTCAACACCAGTGGGCACAGCCAGCGGCTCTGGAAACCTCTCATAGGCTGGATGGGCCCAGCTACTCACATGGCTTGTGCTGTGGCTTCGATTGGCCTTTTGCGACCAGGTTCCACAGCTCCTATTTATTCTCGAAGCTGTCTTGTTTCCATTTTGATTCTGCAAATCTGAATTAGTTTGGTGTTTCCACGGAAACAGTTCAGCAATTGTCTGACTTGCCAAGACGAACTGCGGGGGAGAAAATCGAATGATGCAAAACATTTTTAGTTTCTTGAACATGACTTACTGATGTCTCCCCAAGAAGTCTTTGGTCCCAGCTCCCTGCAAACCTGAGGACAATTTATTAAAATAAATGTTCTAGGCTCTGTTCTCCCTCCAGCTAAATCCCCGGAGACCCACTCGGCAAACCCCTCGCCGTGTGCAGCTGGCCCACATCAGCCCACTGCACTGAAGCAGAGGCTGTGGGGTCGTTTGGGCGCTCAGGGAGCCGGGGGAGTGACAGATGGCACTGGGTGAGCATCTGTATGGCCACCCCTGCTAACCTGGGACCAGCAGCACTGGTTCACTCCACAGCTATGTTTCTACAGCAAAGAAATGCTCCTTATTCAAGGCTTCCAGGATGAATTGCCCATTTGGTAAATCTAAATTTTCATGTAAAGTCTTTGCTAAACTGTTGGTACACCTGTCTCTCCCGCAGGGAGAACCTGAGCCTCCTCCCATGCCACCTCTACCCAACACTTGGCCCTTGTTCCCAAGGGCCATAGTCTTCACCACGGGCAGAGCAAGTCCTCCTGCCTCAGCCTTCAAGGGCCAGGGCTGGACCCCTGCTCCGAGGAGCCATGTCCCTGCGAGGCCCTTGCGGGGCAAGGACTGAGCTCTGAAAACAGTCCATGGTCCCCAGGGCCCAGCACCCTCGGGAGGCACTGTGGGTCCCGCTGAGCTCTCCAGCGTGGGCCTGGCCTTTGCTGTTTCTGGGTCTGTGAATGGGGGTGCCCACAGCTGGGCGGTGGAGGTGAGGGCTCGAAAAAACAACTTCATTTCTCCTTTCCACAGAAGTGATGCATGCCCACTGAGGTAAGGTGGGGGACACTCAGGACTGCCCTTGTCCCGGTCCCCTCCACACCCCACTGCATGTACGCATCGTCACAAACATGGGGGCAACTGGTTTCTTAAAATGGAGATGCCTTTTCCGTTTTGGAACTACTGGGGTTTACACCCTTCACCCAGTTTCGCTAATGTGAACACGGTACGTAACTGTGGCCTATTTTCCATAACTAAGCAACTACCACAAATTTGTTAATCTTAACCAAGCTCTAGCCTTTATTTAGATCTCACCAGTTTTCCACCGACTCCCTGTCTGTTCCACGACTGGATCCAGAACAACACCCTGCCTTTAGTCCCTGTGGCACCTGGTCTGCTCTGTGTCGGAGCCTGCCCTTGTCCATGACCTTGGCAGCCCTGAGCACTGGCCAGGCTTCCTGCTATGAGTGTCTGGCCCCCACGGTCTGTCTCTCAGTCAGACTGGATGTGGGCCTCGTAAGGGCGGTGCGGAGACCAGTGCCCACAGAACACCGCTGCTGGCTTCTACCACACTGCTCAGTTACGTGGAGTGTGCTGCGCAGCTCCGCGGACTACTCTGCCCCTGAGAACGGGGCCACTAAGTGTAGCTCAGCCTCACGGGGGACCCAGATCTGCCTCACCTCCATGGTGTCCACAAGTTGCATCTGGCTGGGATGTGCTCTCCTGAGCCCAGGTGTCTGAGTAGCAGTCGCCTGCTTCGGTCCATCCAGCCTGTCCCCCCGAGTCGGGCAGCCACGTACTCCGAGCACCCATCACTCGCTTCTGCCCTTCTTGCTCGGGGAGAAGTGACTGGCCCCAACCCCACAGGCTGTGACCTTAAAGAGGTGCAGCATGCCTGCTGTGGGGACAGGCGACAAGTGGTCCAAGTGGAACCACCAGTCAGTGCTGTCTGGCTGGGCACCCCAGGCAGGGCAGTGGTGGTAGCTGAGCCCGGGGAGGCCTGTCCTGTGACACAGCCCATGGGCAGTTCTCAGGGTATGGGGCAGGTGCCCATCTCACCCCATCAAGGAATGGAGGTATGGACTCCACCAGGGTATCCAGAGCAACCCCCAGCCCTGTGCTGAGGCCACCAGCCCAGAAGATGGCCTGACGTGTTCCTCGGCCCTCAGACCTTCCTCCCCAGCTCCTGGCTTTGGGTCTCATCCCTAGCCTCCCCTATGAACCCAGGAGGCAGGTACTTCCCTGAGACTCAGCCGGGGTTGGCAGGCATCAACCTTGCCCACCAGCTTATTAGACTCCCTAGAAAAGCATCACAAGTTTAGAGATTCACCCAAATGCCGACATCATTTCTTCCCTGCTAAGCTTTAGCTGCTGTGCTGGCCTGGCTCCCCCACCCTGGGCATCCTGCACCTGTTAGGTCCCTGCCCCATCACCGCCTAGAGCCCCAGGGTCTCCAGGCCTGCCTGGGGAAGGTGGACGGGCAGGACCTTGCTAACTCCCTGCCTCTGCTAAGGGCCCAGGCCTCCTGTAGGGAGTGTGAGAGGAGGCCACGTGAGAATGTGCTTCCCAGGGATGCCAACAGCCCCTCTGACCCAATGGGAGGCCCTGCAGAGGCCTTTGGGCAGGCAGGGCAGGGATGGAGGGTGGACGGGATCTGCCTGGATGTGACAGAGCCTGGGGCCTACATAGGTGGCAGGCAGCCCTGTGTACAAAGTGTGAGGGCAGTAGAGAGCCGGGGCTGAGATCCATCCGACCCCCATTCCTCCATGCACGTTCGGCTGGCCTGGGAGTCCCTCACTGGTCGTGGACCTGGTACTGTCAGGGCCCCACGGAAAGAACATGAAGAGATACAGCAGAGCCCCATGACCTGCACCTGCTTTGGGTACTGGGTATATTGAACATCAACCAAAAAACACTTTCAAGATATCAAGCAAGGTGACAAAAATCAACAGTAAGAAACATTTCAAAGCAACAGAATAAAAAAGCTCTCGTCTCAGAAAGGGATCTGAATGGGAGCTCTGAACAAGGCTCCTGACAACTGGCTGCTCCCACAGGTGCCGTGTGCCGACTTCCTGCAGTAAGGACCCAAAGCTATACAGTCAGCTGTCCTGACTCAATCAGGTATTTAAAAGAGGTCATCAAACTGTAGTCCTCTTCCAAGTCCAGGACAGTCTCAACGATACTGTGATCACTGAACGCCCGTCCGAGGCCACCCGGGTCAGCATCTAAGGCCTCCGGCGGGCTCTCGTCCCCTAGCAGAGCCCAGGCTTCCTCCCTGAAGGGTGAGTCTCCGCAGCGACCACACACATGCTTCAACTCATTTTCAGGTTCTAGTTTCCCAGCCAATTCTTCAATGGTTCGGATGCTCGTATGGTCTTAAAAATAAGGACAGCATTCAATTCTAGTGAGAAGTTTCTGAAGACATTTCAGACACAAGTTAAAATCCACAAATGAGTGGCTATGCACAGCTGTGTATTCCCACCCCGGGCAGGTGGGCTACCAGAGGGACGGCCATATTCTAGGCTCAGCTAGGTGCTCTCCCTCCGTTCTGGCCTCAGCATTTATCAAGCCCGGACTGTCTCCAGTAAGAAGGCCAGAGTGGGAGACACGGAGATGTGCGTGTTGCTCTGACCTCAGGGAGCTCCCTGACCTGCAGGTATGACCAGACATGATGTGAGAAAAAGGAAAGCTGCCTGACACCAGGGGCCTGAGGATGTGACGGCTTCAGGTCACTTCCTGGGGCGGCGGGAGGCTCAGCCGCGCAAGGCGTGGGCTGGCAGGGGGCTGGCTCTGCGGCCCAGGCAAGCACCGCCCCTTCATCCCATAACCCAGATGCCCTTCCAGAGCCAACAGCTCGACAAGCGCCAAGGCCTTGTCGACACACCCCACACTATGAGCAGAAACAGAGGAAGCATCTGGCAATCTGACGGTGCGCAGCGCTGTCAACCATTTCCTCCAATCGTGCACCACCCACCCTGGCTGGACAGTGCCCCCCACTGGTGCCACTGTCCTGACAACCCCCAGGGCTGCTGTCCCTCCCTGCAGGGAGTCACCCTGAGTGGACAGTGATGAAATGCCCTGAGCGCTGAGGCCCACCAGCTACAGCTCCGTGCCACTTCCAGCCTTCCAAGAAAACTGATGACAGGTGGCTTGTTTCTAAGAAATCTGCTGACACAGGTACCCGGGCGAGGGACCTGTCCTCCGGGGAAGGCCGCCAGCCCTCGCTGCTCACCGATCATACAGAGCAGATCCTCTGCGGCCTCTTGGCTGAAACTGCTGGGTGGTATATTTGAGTCAACCTTCAACTCTTTCTCCGTGTGTTTCCTGCAGCCCCCAGGGTAAAAAAAAAAGTGAGGAATTAGATCCTTTTTAAAGAAAGTATTGAAGAGGAAGTCAGGCTTAGATAACCTTGAAGACAAGAACCCAGTGCTGTCATTCACGCTGTGATCAGAGGACAAGAGGAAATGGCTAGACCTGCGGAGCCCCTGAGGCCTCTCCGTGGCCCGCGAGCATCTCACACTGGCGGCCTTATTTCTACAAGGAACCAACGAACTGGCTTTACCTACAGGGCAGCCAGGCTGGCAGGGCCTTGTTTCATCCCGCCGGTCCTCCTGGACCCAAACCAGGTGCCCAGCACCAGGCGCTGTAAAGCTACCTGGGAGGAGAGGCTCTGCGGCTGGGGGTGGGCACAGGCCAGGGCGCGGCCAGGAAGCCGCCACCGCCCTCCACCTCTTCCCTGCGGGCAAAGGACACTGGAATTTAGGCTTTTATTTCTGCGGCATAAAACACTAGGTGTCTTTAACAATCAGGTGTCGCTCCGCCATCACCGTGGGTCTCGCAGGGTGGCCTGCACGCCGCACGGGCCCCGAGGGCCGGGCTGCGCCGCCGCCCAGCCCACCCCCAGCCCCGCGAGCCCGTCGCCGGATCACCTGAGCCCGTCGGGGCGCCACCCGTCCGCGGCCGCCGCTCTCCCGCGCCGCCTCTCTGGGCCCGCTGCGCGCTCGTTCTCCCTGCGGGCCGCCGGCCAAGCGGACCCCGAGGCCGGGCTCCAGGGCGCGCCCCCCAGGAGCCGGGCCGCCCGCCGGCCCCGCGCCCCGCCCCAGGCCCGGTCGATGGCCGCGGCCAGCTCCTTCCGGCACCTGCGCAGCTTCTCCGACATGCCCCGAGCCGGCGCGCCTTGCTGCGCCCGCAACACCGCCTTACTGGACAGCGCAGGGGCCCGGACGTCCCGGCCCTCGTCCGCACCACCGCCAGGGCACCCCGTTCCCTAGGTCCTGCCGGCACCCCCGCCCCCTACCCTGGTCCCCGCTCGCACCCCCTGCCCCCCCTCTGCCCGGGCATCCCCGGACCCCACTCCCACCGCCGAGTAAATCCTCACCCAGCAGCAACCACACAGGTACCTCAGCGCCCCCACCGCTCCCCCAACGGTCGCGGCCCTGCGGCTGCACGTGCCCCGTCCTGGGCCCCTGACCCCGCGGCTCAGGTTAAAGGTCAGCCCAACCGGCAAGATGTTCTGTACACCCCTTAGGGGAGGCGGGGCCCATACAGTAGCTGGTGGGAGGGAGGGGTCCTACTTCCTACCAATGGGGCAAAAACAGGCCCTTTGCCGGTGAGCCCCCACCTCCTTAGGCCACAGCGGAGGGCTGACCCTACCAGGGCGGGGGCAGGGCAGAACGGCCGGGGGACACACTGGGCCAGGGGGCAGATGCCCCAACACCCAACAGATCGTTTCATTAGGGGCAAGAAAGCTGTAAATCCCATGACTCAGGGACACAGAGACCGGCTTCAGGGCTAGTGTTTAGGGACTCTAAGCTCCCTCAGCGCACAGCAAGGGAGCCGGCACCACCGAGGGCCAGTTCACGCCGGCAGGAGGGCCCCGGGCCTCCCTCTACTATGGGATTGGCAGGTCGACACCCCTGTGCCCCCTCCCCACCCACCCTTTGCAGCCCCTCAGGTTTTACAGAAATTTCTCACCACCTGTGTAAAAATAAAAATAATTCAGCCTCTGGACATAACCCTCCTGAGCAAACAAGGTCTTTTTTCCCCTCCTGCTCATACAGAAGGGGGTTTCATCTGGCTTTTAGACAGACACCAGCAGTCCTCAGAGTCCCTGTGCCCTCCTGGGGGCGTCTGCGGGGGCCGCGGGGCGGCAGGGCCCCCAAGGCGGCATCAGTCGGTGTCCATAAGGCCCAGCTGTGAGCTGCAAGGGGGTCCGGCAACACTGGCAAGTGAAGGCGTTGTATGAAACTCTTCATCCCGACGCTGGTAGAACAGCACGTAGGCTGCTTTTGTCTGCAACACAGGAAGGGAAGATTCAGCCACGGGCTGGAAAACCCCCCGTTCTCCCAGCTCCCCACCCACTGTTCTGGACACACTGCTCTCCGGGAGCTGCGGTCATGCCAGTGCAGCCACACTGAGCCCAGGGGGCCCCACGGTGGGGGAAGGCGGGTGGCGTGCGACAGAGCCCTGGGGAGAGCTGGCTGCTCGTGGGGAAGGCTCCCGGGGGAATGGCAGCCAGCCTGCTCTCGACCACCCCCAGCTTCCACTGTCCCGTCAGGATGATGCCCAACCGAGTGGCCCGGAGACTCCCCCGGCTGGAATCTGCAAAGACAGAGGAAGGACAGGCGTCAGGGGCCTGCCTGCTCACCGCTATCTGATCCTCAGAGGCCGGGGACACACTGCTGTCATCGAAGTAATACCACTTCCCGGTCAGCTTGTTCTTCGCGTGGGCGGTATCTGTCAGGCCAACAGAGGACATGAGCAGTGGCCAGCAGAGAGCCCTGGCGGGCCTGTGGGCCTGCGATGAACGACAGAACCCCCGAAAGGGAAAAACCAAAGACCCTGAGGTCAAACGTAACTTACAGCTGGTGTCCTAACGACCCAAAGGTATCTCATCCTTTTAAAAAAACCTGTTCCTTCTAAAAAAGTAAAAATGGAGCTGTGGGGTCTCAGGCTTACACAGATTTTGGGGAACTAATTCAAAAAGCAGAGAAAGCTGGTGTCAGCCCTCAGGGTGGCTGTGAGCAGTAACCCTGACCAGGGGACATACGGGAACTGACACGTTCAGACCCAAGTTAAACTACAGATCTCCAAAGATCACGCCACATCGAAGGCACCCGCCCTGTCCAGGCAGAAGGGCGATCCTGGTGGGGACACAGCGGGCACTTGGGTTTGTAGACTGGGACGTGGACAAGCAGGCTTACTTTATCTTCTCTAAAACTGTGTGTCAGAAGTCTCAATTCCTCACGTCCCACAGCCAACATTTCCCATCTTGATTCTGCACTATTTCCAAGCAGGATGTATTTACAACAGCAGTCCCAGCAGCGATGTCCAATTCCCGCTCTGCCCACACTCTAATACAACACGGCAGGAGCTAGCGGGGGTCTGCAGTCCCCGCCTGCGTGTGGCTCTGGGCGAGCTGTGGAGCTGTCTGTCGCTCCAGTGTTTGCTGCAGAACGTGTGGGTAAGGAAGGCAGGAGAAGGTGACACAGAAGGTGCTGAGGGCCGCCCCCAGTCTGTGCACTGGTGGCTCTCTGTCCTGGAGTTCCCACTGGGGGCCCTTAAACAAGGGCCTGACCTCATGAAGGGGAAAAATGACACACACAGAGCTAAGAAACTTGCCTGACTGGTATGTCTACATGCTACCATGGCAGTCAAGAAGGAATGTATTTATTCATGAATGAACAGGTATCAAAATGAATTTGGGGAGGAAACAGCTGAAGAGTAAGTGCTTCAGGGCATGGTGTGGTCGAACTGCTAACAGCCACTCCAGTAGACCCCTGGTTTTCAAACAAGACCAATTTTTATTTCCCAGCCTCATGTACAGCTGGAGGCAGCCATGTGGCATTATAGTCAATGAAGTGTGTGGGGAAGAGCTGAGGGGGACTTCTGGGAGGCATGCTTAGAAGAGAAGGTGGTGCCCTTTCTCCCCTACTTCTCATGTCCTGGAATGTAGACATGAGAGCTGAGACTGAGCAGCCTTCTGGAGACAGGAGGTGACACAGTAAGAATGGAGGGGCAGGGGCAGTGTTAGGCCAACAAAAAGAGGTCGGCACGGCAGGGGAGAACATCAGGGCTGCGGGCAGTTCCATCGCCCACTGCGCAAGTAAAGGTCACTGGTGCCTCCCGTGGTGTGTCACCTCCTGGGGCCCTGACCCCGGGAGGGGTGGCAGTGGGCACAGTGCAGGTGCGGCAGAGGGAGCAGGCAGACACCCACTGCTCGCTTCACCACTACCCGCACCACCTTCCCGTAAGCGAGTAACAAGATGTACGAGGTCTTTTCACTGAAGAGCAAACCCACACATGACAGAGACTTTAGAAAACAAAGAACAAGGAGAAGAAGGAAGATTCTGGTGTCTCTTCCCTGTTTGTGATGTAGCTGTGTCACCACCTCTTGTGACGGCGTGACTTTGTGTGGCTATTTTTGATGGCGTTTCAAGGGCACCCATGTCAGGAGCAATTCCACTCTGCAGGGGCTGTGTGCCCTCCATCAAGCAGCTGGGCGGCAGCGGCAGCCACTGGGCACCAACGCCAGTAATAACTTCCACGGTTTTAAATAGGTAAGTATCTTTATGCAAGAAGCTTTTTCCCAGTTTCAAGTGATTTCCTTAGGATAGATTCCCAAATGTGCAATTAAAAATATGGAAGCCGGGTGGGGGCAGGGAGAGGGGAGAAGCAGCAGCCGGGAGGAGCCAAGGCCTAAGGGCCTGAGCCGCGGTGTACACAGGGCTCAGGGCGAAGCCCAGCACACGGCAGAGCCTGGTGAGACGGCGGGCTGAGGGCAGCCAGTGCTTCAGCAGGAAGCAGACGCAGTACTCACAGTGACCGACCCCCATGGCTCCATAGTGGTTGGACACAGCGACGAGGTCATACACGTAGGGCCGCGCTGACGGGTCACAGACAAACTCGGACATGTTCAGGGCCCTGAGTATAAATAAACGAACAGCCCTTAAGTCCACGGTGGTCAGAGGAAGACGGAGGAGTGAGCCAGCACCCCTCTCCGTGCCACAGGCTGTTAACAGAGGGAAGCATGCAGCAACTAACAGCAGGAGGGGGGACGGACGCGACAGGAGGGCCCCGTCTCAGTCCCACCCCTGCCGCACCCCACGCAGAGGCTTCCTGGGCGACTCCAGCCTCGGGCCAGTAGCCTGGAAGGTCTCTCCCGGCACAGCCTGAGGGCCGCAGCAGCAGAGCAGGGACGGCTGTGGCTGTCAGAGACACAGCCGATGCCGTAAAAGCCTAAGCTAAATATCAAAACAGGCCCCAGAAAGTTTTTCCCCGCTATTTTAATTGTGAAAGAGAGAGGAATTCTACATATCTGATTATGCCCACCACCCAGGTTCTCCAACTGAGGTGTCTGTACTTCGTGTGTCCACTGACCCACCCCTGCCCAGGCAGCATTTTAAATCTGCCTTTCGTGAAGGCACTGCTGTCCTGCTGACTTCACTTTGCCGCTTCGGTTCAGCTGAGGACCCCGGGGCTGAGGACGTGGGCAGCTGGTCCCGGTCTGCGCCCTGGGAAGAGGACTGAGGTGGAGCGCACCCCAGCCGCAGGGCCCAACGATCCCGCACCCCCACCCCCACCCACTGCTGATGAGTGGCAGCCCAGCCCCCGGGTGATGACGGTGGGGACACCAGCTGGGTTAGGCAGAGTGCGGGGCCCGAGAGGGGAAGCAACAGGGGCCGGCATTACCCTGGGCCTGGGGTCTCTTCCACCCAAGAGGGTGGGGGGCGGGGGGTGGGAGGGCAGCCCAGCAGCACAAACATCCTGATGTCCGGGTCTTTGGTGGCAAAGGCCTCAGCCATTCGGTGCCCAAATCCTCTGCCTGGGTTCTCATCTTCCTCACAATGCTGCAGCGAGGGACCCACCTGACTGGGAACTCCACGACCGTGTCGAGCTTATCCCTCCAGTATCTGCTGTAGGAGAAGCGTTTGAGGTGTACCACAAGGATTTTCGGCAAGGTCCACAGGTCAAACTTCTTCGTGGCCTGTTGGTGCTTCTGACAACTGGGGCAGTACCTGAGCAGACAGGAAAGCCTCCGCTCACGGGCGGGCAGGCAGCGTGGGGCCCCAGTGCGGCCCCACACCCTCTCCCGGCTCAGCACCACTGCCTCAGGGCAGGAGGGCTAACCACCACCCACAACGGGGATGGCTTCCTCGGTCTGGAAAACAGGGTTTACACACGAAGACCCGTATCGTGGGGCCGGCCACGTAAAAGGTGCCATGGCCAAATCCAAAGATGGTGCTGGCAGACCCAAGAGACCTGGGGCCATGGGTGCCCTGCCCAGCGTGGGGAGCTCCTACCAGGGGTCGTGCTCCCCAAGGGTCTCCATGGTGGTGAAGAGCTCGATGCAGTCCCTCAGAGCCACCGCGGCCTTCTTCTTCTTCTGAGGCTGCAGCATGCTCACATGCTTCTCATAGGCCTGGGGGGACAACGTGCCGTGGCCGCTGGACACACAGACCTTGTGGCTGGGCCACAACCCCATGAGCTCTCACCCCTGGAACATGATGTACTTCCGGAACTTCTGACCTTATAATGAAATCTCTAAATGTCTTTCATTCCCAGGCTGGAATATAACTTGCTAAATGGCTATGGAACTAGTGACAGTGACCCTACTGCTCATCCAGACAGAAGCCAGCCCACCGCGGGCCCAGAACCCCGAGTGGCCTACCTCAGATTCCTGCTCGTCGTAATAAAGGCTCCGGGCCTCGCTGTCCCAGTCGATGGCCAGTGTGGATCGAGCTGTGGAGGGGACCAGAGTGTCACTTGTTACTGAATGCCCAGCAACAGGAGAGGCTCTGCAGAAGGAACAAGGGCCACACGGGCCGTGCCATCAATGCCTGTCCACCTGACAGCAGCCGCTGCCAAAGGGCCCCCACATCCATTGGCCAAGACTTCCTCGGCCCTACAGAGGGGCCCCGAAGGCAGTGACTATATAGAATCTGGGGAAGACACAGGTCAGGACGGAGTAACAGCTCCCAGACTCACCATCCCACCTTACACCACAAGAGACCTTGACACACAGAGGCAACGACTATTCCCAAAGACTGGACACTAGGCAGAGCAAGAGGCCCCCGAGAGGAGGTGCTTCCTCCCCCCACTCCCTGCCTGGAGGCGCCTCTGCAGGCCGCACCGGGCGGGGACTGAGCCGGGCGGGGACTGAGCCGGGAGGCACAGCCTGGAGCTGGGGTGGCTATAGCATCTATAAGGCGTTACAGGAGGAGAGGGAAGCTGCAGAGACAGACAGATACTGAGATGCAAAAATATCTCAATGTAAGTTTTTATTAGAAACATTTTTAGGAGGCACAACAGGAAGGGAGGGAGTGAGGAAGGAGAGAAAGCAAGCAGCTGAAGGAAGCTGAACGGGTGGCGCCTCTATGGCCCGAGCACGTGGGTGCCCGTCTGCATGGCAGCTCCCGTGATGGGAGGCCAGGCCCCGAGCTCCTACGAAATCCATGACTACCCTCTGATGGGTCACAATGCATGAATCACTTATGGAACAAAAGGAACAGCATTTATTCTCCTGTGAGAGCCAAGTCTGGGCAAATGCTGCCACCTAGGAGGGCAGAGAGAGGTGCTACCAGTGGCCGCAGTCCTGAAGGGTGGGGGTGGAGGCAGCTGTACCTCCCTCGCACTTAGGAGGACCAGGGGGCCGACCGGAAGGCCTGGGTTTCTGAAACTGTGTCCGGGGGCTCAGGCCAAGGACCAAAGCGCCTGTTCCTGGAGCCATACGGACACCACAAGAGCCCAACACCACGAGTGCCAGGTGCGAGAATTGTCAAGCAGACGCTAAATCCCCCAAAGGCCAGCTGAGGAGCCACAGAAGATGCTTACGGTTGAGTTTAAGCAGTTTCCCATCAGTCACAAGGGAGTCCACGTCCGCTGTCCCGTAGGCGCTCACCAGGCTGAAGGCGAAGAGCCTCTTTGGGCAGGGCGGGCCTTGGCTCTTGCGGGCGGCCTCGCAGCGGCTGCTCCCCGGCACGCCCTCCCCGCTGCCCTCCAGCCCTGAAAGCCGCGCTCCGCCTTCTTCCTGATGCCCCATCTCTTCTCCATCCTCTCCTGCACACACAGGGAAAGCGATGGGCGTATGACTTGCTGAGTTATATTTCAATGCTAAAAACTTTATTTTGTACCTAACTGTGGTGTTTCCAAGTGGCTCTGTCCTGTGGAGGTGGAACGCCATCTGCCCCTCTGCACTTATGAGGCAGCCACGTGCCCCCCGCGAGCTGATGAGACAGGCAGACGGGCCCTGCAGCCCCGTGAGGAGGGAACGGAGGCCCCGAGTGGCCCTCTCCACCTGGCCCCTCACTGCGCTTCATACCCCACAGTCTGACTCTCAAAATTCCTCACTAGGCCCACAAAGAGAAAAGGGGCAAAATGAAATAGACACTCAATGCTCCAGACAATAGTCTGGAAGAAACACAACCGAGTCCATTCGTTGGCATCATCATGAACACAGGCAGTAAGCAGAGGCGCCCTGCTCCTTGTAAGCAGCAGGTGCGGCCCACCCCGTCACCACCCCTTGACCAGGAGCCTCCGAGGCACAGACGCCATGCCGGGTCCCTGAGCACACAGCAGTCTCAGCTCTCCCCTCCTCCTCTTCCTCTGTGTTCATTCGAGATTGCCCAGGTTTAACGGCATTTTGAGGGCATATGCTAATTACTAAATTCCCCCCATTCCTGAGACCTGGCAGACGGGCTGCAATGAAGAAATCCATGCACATCTTCCTCACGTTCTGTTCTTGGGCAAAGGGGGAAGTCACAGTATCAGGTGATTTCAGCAAAGATGGCAACAACTCCGCAAGGCAGTATGACAGTAACAGAAGAAGAACAGCTTTAACACATGAAGTTCATATGCTCGAAAGTATCAGCAGAGGGGGAAACTCCGAGAGGGCACTGCACACACGCAGCCTGTCTCCGCAGGGTCTGCCTGTGGGGCGCTCACAGTACCAGCACTGGCGGAGGTGCGGCCCGGGTCCCACCAGCACAGCCTGCCCGCAAGCATGCCTGAGACTGCGGCCCCAGCTATCACGGGCGTCCCCTTCCCAACCAGCTCACCACCCCCTTCACACCCGGGCACGCCTGCCCAGCAGTACATACTCCCAGCCTGGCAATGACACCCCGCCCCACCAGCTGCCTCTCTGAGAGGGACGCCACCAGAACCCACCTCAGCCCCGTGAAGGGAATAGACAGCCCTGACACTGCAAGAGGCCTGGGGCTGGCTGTGACAACGGCTGCCTGTCTCCAGACAATCCCAAGACCCTTCTCCCGGTACTGTCAGCATCACGGGATGAGAAGAGCAAGCAGCTACCCAGGGTCACCCGGAGACCCAGCGGGGAGCCACCACAGCCCAACGAGCCACGGGAGTGAACGGTCACCGGCATTTCAACATCAAATAGGATCTGAAGTCTATGCACCAAGACTCACTCACAGGGCTCAGAAGGGGGCAGTAATGACGCTCGAACAAGACCGGCAAGTGTATGGCTAAGCTAGGCGAGTCACAACCACAGTTACCGGGTACTTTAAATCACATTCTCGCACTCAGCTGCAACCTCCACTCTGTGACGGAGGTGTCCTCACCCCGCCTGCACACGGGTAACCAGGGTTGGCGGGATGAAGTGCCTTGTTGCAGCCCAGCCTGCTCCTCGAGCTGGGGGGCACAGGGCCTGAGGTGAGGGCCCAGAGTCCGGAGAACCCACAGGTCTCTCAGGCCCTGCGCAGAGGCCACCACTTGCACTCCAGCACCTGCGCACAAAACACACTCCTGCCCAGAGCCCCAGGGGGAGGGGCACGTGACACTCGGGGCGAGTCATACCCTGAAGTGCCAACGATTCGGAACACCCATGAGGACAGAGCTTTGTGGTATTTTTGACATCAACCCTCACCTTCCAGGAGTGTGCAAATCTTGGAACCCTGGGCATTTGGATTTGCAACCGAAAATTTACAGCATTGACGTGGGGGACAGCTATAGCCTGCCCCAAGCCTGTGAGTGCACAGCCACGGCTGGGCTGCGAGGGCTCTGCGTTCCCTGCACTGAGCCTGCCCAACTGGCTTTCCATGATGGCCCTCTCCACTCCCACAGCAGGAGCCACGCTCATCAGGAGCCACCCATGAAGCTTCCTGGGCAGAAGAAACACCCAAAGCAGCTGCCTCCGCCCCTGGTCCCTGTCCTCTCCAGCGCGTGCTGCCCCCGATGGGGATGGGGGAGGGGCCACGGGACCAGCTCTGCGGCAGAAGCTACATCAAGGAGGGGGCAGAGCACAGGTGAGCCCAGCACGCGACCGGGAGGCGTGAGAACCAGATCCCGGCTCCGCCCCCTGCCTCGGTGGGACAAGTCCCTTGGCCCTGCCAGCTCCGCCTGCCTGTGGTGAGCAGCCTCCAGGTCCAGGCACACACCGAGCCGCCCTCCAGCCGAGCCCCATCCAGCCCCAAAGCCTGCCCGACCCTCCACTGTGCAGACACGTGTAGGGGAGGGAGGCCGGGAGGAGGCGGCTAGGCCGGTGCTCACCTTCACAGCCGCCCCTGGAGCCATTGCAGGCCCCTGGCTCCCAGGGTGAGCTCCCAAATTCATCAGGCAAAGGCTGTTTTACGTAGCGGCTTGAAAAAGAGAAAGAAAGTAATTGTTCCCTAGTTATTATGTTTCCCTATTTTTTCCACCTCTCAGCTCGAAGTATTTCACAATTTATACATCCAGCTACTCACAAAGCAATTTATGTAAACAAAAGGGCTTCAAAAGCATGTGATGGTTTCATATCTTGCTGGGGCCTCCAAAAAAATGTGGCAGTAAATGCTCAGAGGGATAGTGGAGCGCCTGAAGACCGGGAGGAGCCCCTGAGATAGATGTCCCACTGCCAAGGCCCCGGCGCCCCGGAACTAGTGCATTTCATGTCCTCAGTACGTGTCATGGGGCACCACCATTTTAAAATACATTTCCCAGTAACACCAAGTCATCAGCCTCCCAGTGGTGGCGGAGTACTTCAGAAACAGTGCTCAAGCGTGAGATGCGGCCACAGCAGCAGACTGCCAGGCGGGTGACCAGCAGGTGTGGCAGACCTGACGCTAGGGACCAAGGGAGTCCGGAATGCCATGTCACGGCGCTGGAGACTCGCCAGGAGCCCCGTCACACTGGCACCTGCCCTGGGGCACACGGGACCCATAGAGGCCCTCTGTGGGGCAGTGACTACTATCGCTGGGCCTGTCTGGATTCTAGGCAACAAGCCACATTCCTGCCACCAACCTGATTCGCTCACAAACAGCCTGGTACAAAGACTCGAGGGTCAGCTTGTGCTTGGGGACAGAAACCAGCAGTGGCTGCCCATACAGCACTGCCCCGGAAGATGCGCTGGATGGCCTGGCCTTCCTTTCCCGGAAGTACACTGGAAGCGTGACACACTCAGAGCCGTCCAAGGGGCTGCTGCAGACCTCGTACCTGCACCAGTCAACAAGAGGGCAGCTTCAGCAGCAGGTCCCTGTGAGCAGCGGAGACTTGGGTGGCAGTGACACGGCACCAGCACGCGGCCACTGCACACAGCACGTACTCCAGCACAAAGGGTGGAGAAACCATTTCTAAGATGGTTCCAGAAGCTGGGTCAGGAATCCCAGTGATTCACATGTTGTGGACCCACACCACCTGGGACTCGGGGCTAATGTGATCTGCCTTCCCCAACCATGGCCTCAAACACGCGAGAGCGGGCACCCGGCCCAGCACAATGGCACAGAGGGGTCCCAGCCACCAAGGAGCTCAGCTTCCAAAAAGAGTTTCTCACTGCCCTGCCCTTTAATGAACCAAGTGTCATACAAAGCTGTGTAACTAGCCACGGACCCTTTATTTCCAGTGAGGAAGTAAATGTTGAAGACTAATTGTTGGTGATCTTTGTTCAAAAACATGGAAGTAGAAGAATCATACGTACAAATCAGTGACTTTGAAAACTGTGTCTCACTTAATGAATACACAGGACTGAGGAGACTTAGAGATGTCTTATCCTTGGCAAATAGTCCTGCCTATAGTCCATTCAGGAGTGGTCCCAGAAAAACTCACAGACATGTCCACGGTGTGCTTGGGGCTAAGGAGCTGTGGGCAAGCATAAAGGTCAAGAAGCAGGCCGGGTTTCCCAGGCCATCACTGTCACTTTCTGGCACTGGGACTGGGCCAAGCGCCCTCACTTCTGTGCCTGTTTGCTCAGCAGCCAAGAGGCTGCCTCCTGAGAGCGTGGCTAGAGGGTTGACTCAGCACAGTGCACCCCACGGTTAAAGGGCGAGATGCTCCTGCTCTGTCTGCTCTGTTTTCATAAGGTGATCATCAATCCATCTCCACAGTACTTTGCTTTCCTGATGGTTGAGCTTCAGGCCTTCTGTGAATTCCTGTGCTGGTGACCCTGTAGCCCAGGCGTGCTGACATATGATCCCCAGAACTCCTGAGAGACTGCACCGGGACCCAGTCAGAAGTGGGCAGCCTGGGCACCCTCCCCCCGTGGAGCAACAGAGGGCCACAAGCAGGGGTAGCCGACACTGGTGTGGCCCCTGGTACGCTCAGGGCCCCTCCGCCAGGGTGACCCAGAAACCACAGGCCCAGAACGTAAAGGGAGGAAAGGCCTCTTCTGGCTACTGCACTCCTCAAAACCAAAATGCTAAAAGCCTCTGTGAGGGGGACGGAGGGAGGCAGCATGGGGGGGTCCACGGTCAGTTTGCCCGGAGCAGTACGCCTGGGGGCCAGGGCAAGCATGCCTTCCACACACCAGATCACGTGGGGCAGCCTTTAAGCAAGAGCACCTGGCAGGGCCGACAAGCCAGCTGGAAATGCAGTGTGCTGCCCCCAGGGATGGGAAACTGAGCGTGCAGGCTATTACAGCTGAGCAAGACTGTTTGAATCGAGCCCCCGGGCACCTGAGAGGGCACCTGCTGAAGGGGCTGTGGCCTATGGCAGGAGAACAAAGAGCCCTTGGGCTACCATCCCTCCTCTCATCTCCGGGGGGCCCCCTCACTCCGCTGCGAGTCCCCCTGAAAGAGGCGCTCTGACAGCGGCACCCTCCGCAGGGACTCCAGACATGCCTTCCAGGCAGATAGCACCTGTGGCTAGAGGCTGCTCCGGGCTGAGGGGTTCATCTGCAACATGCAGCTCAGAGCGCCGGCAGGTCCTCTGCACTGATGTCTGCCTGTGGCTCTGATGCCTATCCTGTACCAGGTCCTGGGGCAAGTCCACGTGAGCAGCGGCTGCTCTGGGATGCCCCCTCTGGCCCTTAAGCAAAAACCTGAGTACTTACACAAAAATGTCATCCCGAGGCATGATGTGGTTTAAACCTTCACCCATCTGGAAGATTTTGTGGAACCGGTGATTGTACACATCTGTGACCACCATCTAAGAGGCAACGGCGAGAGAGAGATCACAGGGCGATGATCGATCACAGCGACCCTCCGTAGAGCCCGGTGCAAATGAAAACAATATATGGCTGGGGGCTACTCTAGGCCCCCAGGAAGGGTCAGAGACCACCGTGCGACCAGCCTGAGCTTGGGGCCAAGGTCCAAGGGGAGCAGCTTGGCTGCTGCCAGCAAGGAACATCCCAGAAACACCTGCCCTCAGGCGGCAGGGATGGTGGACAGTGAGTGCCGACTAGGCTGGCAGCTGCCTGGAAGCCTCTGGTTGCTACTCAGGACAGGAAGTGTGCAGGCACTCATCAGCATGTGGGAAAATAGATCAGCCCTGAAGCTAGCAAGTGCTGGGGAAGGACAAGGGCACGGACAGGGCAGGGACAGCAGATGGGCCAGGACAGACAGAGGATGGTTCTTTGCAGGGGAGGCCTCCACTCTCCCTGCCTCCACACAGCGCCAGGCCCAGGAGGTAGCCCAGCCTGGCAGCTGTTTGTAAATGAAGCTTTCCATCAAGAACATCACAGTGTCACTCCACAGTCTTTCGGAGTTTAGGCAGGAAAGAACTTCCAGATTCTCACTTACAGAAGTCGTGTGGGGAAGGGGTGGCAGGGGTGAGGGCAAAGCCCTCTTCCGGGCCCTCTGACAATGGTGGGTGTGACTTCAGTGGAGGAAAGATGGTGCTCCCGGGGACTAGAGGGACAATCTGGGCCACAGCATGGACTGCGAGTGAGGGCGGAGATGTCTCAGGCATCCAGACATAACCACACCTCTGCTGCCCAGCAGGAAGCGCCCCCAAGAAGAGGCTACAAGGCTGAAAATGCACTCCAGAGGACTAGGAAGTGCCCCCAACAGGCCAGGTGCCACCGACCCCGCCACCTTACGTTTTCCGCGGCAACGCCAGCCAGCTCGGAGAGCGCCTCGCACAGGTCAGACACGGCCCCCATCAGTGGCACAGTCACGCGGTACTGCCGAGGAGAGACGGCAATGGCGGTGAGCTGGCGAAGGCCGGCGGAGGGGCGTGAGGGGCGGCGGTGGCCTTCCCGCCACGGACTGGTAAGGCCGGGCCCCCAGGAAGGGTCAGAGCACAAACAGCACGTGTGGCCAGCACCTGCTTCTCCACTCAGGCGGCGCACAGGGCCTGGACCCTCTCACCCCTCCCAAACGTGGTTTTACTTTAGGAGTCATTTGCTGCTCCTTTAGAACTGTTAAAAATCATACAAGCCACCAAGTGGTCCTACTTGTCATCTCTGTTTAGAGATGAAGAAACTGAAGCCAAACCAGGAGACAGCACTACGGTCACTGGGTGGGCCATCAGCAGGGACCTGCTGGTTACACCACTCACCTGGCTTCTGGTTCTAGCCAAGCTCTCCCGACTGAGACGTGAACCTGAGCAAGGGAAGAACCTTGCCTCGGGACCCCCAGCATGCAGACTCAAGGACCACTTAACCAGGTACTTTAGTCACATGAATGGAGCAGGGGGAAAAAGTGACAGAGAAGCCCAGAGGACCTTCATGACATGGCTTGAATGATGCGGGATTCACAAGGTCTGTCTGCTGGAGTCACTCAGGCAAGCACCCCGGGGATGCAGAGGCAGCTGGCGGAGCTTCTGACGCAGGTGAGGCAGCCCCGTGCGGGCCCCCAGCCAGGGTGCCTGAGGCTGCCGGTGCTCTCACCTGGGTGGGTCTGCAGCGAGGGTCAGCAGGAACCAGGAAGACCTCCATGACCCGGTCCTTTTTCAAGGGCAGTGGGAGAGTTAGATAGCAAAACGGGTCAAAGGTCACAGAAACCTTAGCACATTCTGGGCAAACCAAAGTCGACTTGAAGAGGCCATGGAACGTGTCCACAATCACAGAGTCATTTCTCAGCTTGTGGTTCTCCCAGGCTTCCTTTGCTACCACCTGGAAGGGAGAAGGGTAAATGAGGTTCTCAACCTCCCCCAGTGCATGCACACCAATTCACAGCAAAATCTGAGACGCACCAAGAGGCAGATGTACAGCCAAGACCTTAGTCCAGGGGGCTACCCTTGGTGCATGCCCACACACATGCCAGCTCCATGCCCAATCCCAAACACCCAATAAAGGACGGCGCAGGACCTGCGAACAGCAGGGTGCCTGTGTGGCCTCTGGTGGGAAGCAGACAGTCTGAGAGGATGGTGGACACAGCAGCTGACCAAGGGCAGGACTGCTCCACCAGGGTTCAGTCAAAGTCCCTTCAGGAAGACTGTTGTCTAGACTACAGTCCAGCTAACTCACTGTTTTTCCTGTAAGACCTAAACGCTACTTTCAAGTCTTCACACTCACCACCCCAATGTGATCAGGTAGCTTAAATACTAAATTCCCTTTCCAGAGATCAGAAAGTCAAGGCAGAGAAAGTGTAAGTGCCCTGATTATACTGATAACTGTTTTAATAAGCACAGATGCCTTTCAGTGAGAGCAGTAAAAGTCCCAAGAAGTGCCCTCTTACAGCACTTTATAGTTCTGAATGCCCTCATCTCTGGTTCACCAATGAAATTACACTAAACACACCACCTTGAGCTTTGAGAAGCCCCTCCTAAACCTGGAATCCATCTCTCCAGCAGTGCCCACGTCCACATCACCAACAACAGCAAGTGGCAGCCAGAGCCCTGGCACCACACTGAGGCCAGAGAAACGTTCCTGTGGCTCCCACAGGAGACGGCATGTCTGGAACGCCACACCCAACTCACTCCCATGCCATACCGCGTCTGGCCGCCCATTAGCATCCTTCAGCTCCAGGTAGGGCTTCTTTTTCACTCGGTTCAGATCTTCATGCAATCCATCTAGAAGGAAGGCTAATAGCTCCTGAGAGTCTTGTTGCTGGTAGCCAGAAAACTGAGGGGCAAAACGTCCCACTTGGGTCTGCGACAAAAGCAAAGTGCATCAGGAGGTGGAAGGTATCAGAACAGTGAAGTCACAGGGGAGGCTGTCACCAAAACTATCTTTGCAGGGTCAGCTGGGACAGAAAGGGTCGTTAGCCAGATTAATTCCTCAGGGGCCTGGAGGAGGCCAGCAGCTCTCCCTAGATAGAGGGCTCAGATCACAGGGCCAGGACAACAGGGGACCGGGACCCAGGCCGCTGCCCTAACAGAGGAGTGAAGGGAAGTGCCTCAGTCAGCCGCCCCTCTATGTACTGCAACAGATCCCTCTCCAGGTTCCTTCTTTGGTTCAAAGTCTCTGTAAGAACTTTACAAATGGTGCATCAGGCGGAGGACCCTGCTGTCCCTGACAGCCCGGCTGCCCTAGATCACCTGTCAGCCTTGCATCGCTCTACACCAGCGAGCCTCAGAGTGTGGCCCCAACTAGGGCCAAGAGCACCACCTGGGAGCCTGTTAGAAATGCCCGTTCTCAGACCCTACCCTGGACAGAGGGAATCAGAACTCTGGGGATGGAGCCAGTGGTATTTTAACAAGCCCTCCCAGAGAGTCCGACGTGTCCCTCTGCTGTCCAACACCAGCTACTAATCACAAGCAGCGACTAAACTAATCAGAATCAAACACAGTAAGAATTTCAGTTCCTTCCTTACTCACATTTCAGATGGCCAGCGGCACTGCACCAGTCCGCACAGAGGGCCTGTGCCCATCACCGAGGGGCTCCCCACCACACCAAGTGCCTGCTGACTTTTACTCACACTGACCTGAGCCACTTGACTCTAGTCTCTTTAGAACTTGGTACTGGGATACTAATTTATGCACATTCCCCAGGAATTAACGTGACCATGGGATGAAAACAGTTATCAATTTCAACAAACCATCTAAAATTTTAATTTTCTCATTGACATAAGGTGCTATTTTTTTCCTTTCTGAATCAAAAATGCTTCTACCACATGCTTCGTGACAGCTCCTCCGACCCCCGTGGGGCAGGCTAAAAAGGATTTCTCCAATTTCAGAATGTGGCGGCAAATCTTCCCCTAAGCAGCAAAAAACACTAAGGGTGATGGAAAGCCTGGGTCGCTGCATTTGCCCACTGCCCACTGCTCCCTGCTCTTCCTAGCTGAGGGACCCAAGTGAGAGCTGCCCCCCACACACCACCTTCCAGGATGTCAGCCCAAATCCTGACTTGGGGGGCCCGACTCAAAGCACAGGGGGAACAGGCCCCAGGCTGAGAGCTGGGAGTGCCCTTCAGATGATACTGCAAATTAAGCTGCATTTGTATGGTCTGGCTTAGAGTGCTGACCATCTAAAGACTGGCACCACAGAATAGGGCACTCAGAGCAACCAGCTTACAAAGGACTTCTGAAGCACCCCAGCCCAGAGGTGTGCTGAGTGGCTGAACAAGAGACTGACCTAATCCTGAGCATGGTGCTGTCAGTCTCAGATCCCACCTTAATCCCGAAATGCACGGAAAGGAATGACTCATGTCGACACGACAGCGCTCACCCCACATGGGCAACAAGCAAGGGAAACACAGGCAGCGACCTACTTTGACCTACTTTGAACATGCGCGGTGCCACGTGAGCATCCCGTCCAGACCACATCTGCTTTATGAGCTCTGCGTAGGCCTCTGCGATCTCGCCCTGCATGCCCAGGGGGTTGTCTCTGTTGAGCTCAGCCTCGTACTCATCCTTCAGGAAGTAGTCGGTCAGGGGTGCGGTGTTGCTCAGGCACTGAGAGAGAGCATGATCACGTCCCAAGGGCCAGTGCCGGTCAGCTCCACGGGCCCCCGGACGCTCCCCACAGTAAGGCACAGCCCCCCGAGCCCCCAGGGGGGTCCACCTGCGGCTGCAGGAAAGTGGCCTTGGAGGAGCTCATATCTCAAACATCTCCGAGGCAGGCTACCTGAGGGCAAACCTGTGTACCCCGAGTACCTGACAGTCTCTATTCAACAGAAAATGGTGATTCTTTAAATCGGAATTGATTAGAACAGTCCACTGTTTCTTGAGAAGATAAAATATTCAAATTAGCTTTCTCCACGTCCACGGACAGGGTCTCCTGGCTTTCCCCTCGGTTCTGCTGCTATGTTAAATGACTCCAGTCAGTTTTTCAGGTGTCAGGCCCACCCAGCTTTGCTGGCACAAACCCCACTGGTGTTGCCACTTTTATTTAGATGTACTGGATGTGATTTGCTGCAGTTTTATTTACATTATTTGCGTCTACAGTTCTGAGATACGATAGTTTAAATTTTTCCTTTTTCAGAATTCCTCATCAGATTCTGGTATGAGTATGCATGCCGCCTTGAAAAATGATTCGGGAAGCTGTCCCTCTTTTTCTATTTCCTGAAAGATTGTGTATGACTTACCATGTCTGCCTTAAATTGAATCCACTCACCAAGAAAGCCACCCAGAACAAGAACGTTCTTTGTTCTTTTAACTTTTCTTTGGGGCTTTTAATTACCAGATCAGTTTTTTTGATAGAGAACTCTTCAAATCTTCTATTTCTTCCAGTTTGTTTGATAAATTGTGCTTTTCAAAGCGACTTGTCTAAAACTCATCATCTAAGTTGTCTGGTTTAATAGCATAAAGGTGTTGTACTGCCCTCTAGTAATCTTAATGTCTGTGGGATACAGAGTGATGTTCCTTTTTAATGCACAGCATTACTAATTTTATTTTTTATTTTCTTCCTTATCAGCCTCCCTAGGAGTTTATCAAATGTAATAGTTTTTCTCAAAGAATCCAGTCTGGCTGTTCTGTAAATCTGCTCTGTATTTTTCACTAATTTCTGTTCTTACCACTGTTCTTTCCTGCTTTCCACTTACTGTGGGTTTCATTTCTCCTTTTCCTGGCATCACGAGATAGAAACTTAAAGCACAGAGTTTAGACCTTGTTTTTCCTAATATTTACTTCTTGAGCTGCAGACCACCTCGTGGTTACTATCTGCATCCAACAGCTGAGGAGAACCGAGGGCACAAGGAGCTGTTAAAATCCACCTGGGAAAGCCCGAATCTCAAGTCTCTTTTCTTCAGCAGGTTCATTTCTACATCACTAGGCTCCACCTCACCACAGTGGAGAAAAATAATTTCCAAACCTAAGAGTTACCTAAGGTAAAAAAAATCTTTTAATCTTTGCCCTTATACTCCAAGAAACTTCAAAATTAGACTGTAAGTCTTGAGGACAAAAACCACATCTGATATGCTCAACATATCAGGTCCCCAGATGAAGAACTGGGTCTTGACCACACAGGTCTGGCTTTTGCCCTTGGATTCTGGAAAGTACTCTGCTGACCCCCGGAATGTCACTCCTGACAGGAGTACCCACTTGCCCAGTCGTATTGGGGAGTCTAACATGTGATCTGGGGGACTGGCCACACGTGGACAGTTTTAGGTGAGGTCAAACCACTCCAGAAAGACTCACGCTGGGACTCAGGACAGGGACTTGGGGTTGCCCGGGCCATCGACCAGCCAGGCCACACAATGAAGCCCCAGTAGAGGTCCTGGACACCTCCACGCCCGCTGTCACATCCCAGTGCTAGGAGAGCGGTGCAACCTGGCTCCACAGCAAGAGGCGACAGAGCTGCTGCTTCCCCTGGGTAATTTTCATGTGCATCCTCTCCCTATAACAAACTACAGACAGTGTATGTATGTATGTGTGTAATAGTTTAAAGCGAGTCTGTGGGTCCTGCTAACAAACAATCAGTCCCCCAAACCTGCAGTTGGGTGTCAGAAGTGAAGGCCTCTTGGGGCCGGTGCCCCTACCTCTGTGGTCGGGCCCCGACTCCAGCTCACGTCCACTACAGCAGTAGCATGCAGGATGTGCCCAATAAATGCTTGATTAATTAACAAATCAGGTTCTGAAGACAGGCTTCGGGTATTTCCAATCCGAGGCATTAGGACAGACGGCTATCATGGGTAAAAAGATGGCCAACCTTGACCGGACATAACTGAGCCTGGCACCAATTGCTGTGAGGTCCCATCTCACCATGACCACCGGGTAAGCAGAGGCACTTCCTGGGGACACTGCTTCCTGACGGTCAACAAGACCCTTGAGGCCCATCCGTGCTGCCCAATGGGAGGCACCCTGGCAGGGATGACGCTCAGCAGCAGAGATGCTGGGAAAGGACCCTCCCAGGGAGTCAGCGTGCCCTCTGACCCAGCCCCCAGCACCGTGAGGGCAGGTGGCAGCTCTCTGTCTACCTGCAAGGCGGAGTTCATGAAGCACGTGTTCCCCAGGTTTCCAAGTCCACAGAGCCCAGGCTGCACATGAGCCGACGAGGGCTCCTGCCGATTACATGCAGCAGAGAGGCCAGATCCCCTGGAAAACACAACCCCGGTGGCAGTAAGAGTGAGTTCTGTAGCCATGCCCCCAAGATGCCCATCAGGGCTCCTTGGGGGCCTCTGGGCTTCATCTGGTAATAAGCCCAGACGGGTTCTCTCCAGTTCCCCTCCAGCCCTCCAGCCACCAGCTCCTCAACTCTGGCCCGTGATCTGACATGACAGCAGGTGAGCACATCCTTAAGGGGAGAACTGCTAGTTGAATTCTCTGCTCTCAGGCTTTGCCAAGTGCTAATTTTCTGTCCCTTGGGAAGGCTCACTGCTGGGTGACTTCAGGGGAGGCACGGTGGTTACCAAGATCAAGAGCTTGCTCCTGCCACCCCCACCAGGCCGCACTCTGTCCTGACTGTGCCTGAGAGCTCCTCCCCTCTCACCTCACCCTCTTCCTCCACCCCGTCTGTGCTCAGTGGCAGGTGCTTGGAGAAAGGATCACAGCTATGCAGTGGGGAACAGCAGGGCTCTCCCACAGCTAAGCACCCTCCCCTCAGAGCTCTGCTGCCACACAGCCAGCCCGTGTCTTCACAGACAACGCAGTGATCCCCATGACCACCAGCGATGTAGGCTGTGGGGAAAACACCAGCTCCTAAGAGGACAAGAATGTCAGTCAGGAGGAGGCACACCGTGCTGGGGTGTGCCGTGGAGTGAGAAGCCGCATGCAGCGCGTCCCCGTGGGGTGCCCTCACCCGCTCTGCCTGGGGGGGAGCCCAGGGCAGGCTCCCCAGGCTCACCTGGGAAAGGACTCGGAAGGGGGCACAGGGAAAAGTATGCCCTTACCCCCTGCTGATGCCGGAGCCGTGCATCCCCGCGCTCCCTGAGCCATCACCGTTCGCCACGGGAGAGGCAGACCTTGAGGAACAGGGACTTGCTGATGATTTCTGAGAGGTAGAAAGACTGCTAGGCTCAGCGCTTACTCTGGGAGAGAGAAGCAGAAAGAGGGCTACTGACTCTGTGCCAAGGGCAAGCTCTGTTCAAGGTGTCTCTTCTCAAGAAATAACTGTTTTCCGTGTATAGTTATTTAAAATAAATTGGAAAGGCCTATTTTCATGCTATTTCAAGATAAAGTTTACTTACCCGAAAGAGTCGAGAAGTTGACCGGCCTCCCTGTCTCATTCTTCTGCATGGTCACACACCAAATCTTTCAGCAGGATAAGCCACAAGGCTGATCTCCCGCACCCACTCTCATGTTATTTTTAAGAGTTACCAGTGAGAGATACAGAAAAATGGCAGTAGGAGATGAATTTCCCCCAAAATACTTGACCCAAATTAAAAAGCTGGCTCTAAGTACACTTGGAACAGGGAAATAGCAATTTGGTTTCCCTATGCCCTTCAGGGGGAATTGCCTTTTCCTCAAACTAACCAAATATGAGTAACCTTCCTTTTATTTTTTTTATTAAAGTATCATTGTTATACAGTCTTATAAGGTTGCACACAAGCAACACTGTGCTCACTACAATCACCCATATTACCAAGCACCCCCCATACCCCACTGCAGTCAGTCCATCAGTGCAGGACAGGAAGATGCTACTCTCTCTTCCCTGGGAGCCTCCCACACACCGTGAGGGCCAATCACAGTGCCCTCAATCCCCTTCTCCCGCCCTCCCCCTCCCCTCCCCCTTGGTAACCACCCCTCCCTTCCTGGGTTCTATGCTTCTGCTGCTGTTTCGTTCCTTTAGTTTTGCTCCGCTGTTATACCCCACAGACGGCTGAAATCATTTGTGCTTGTCTTTCTCCGCCTGGTTTATTTCACTGAGCATAATACCCTCCAGCTCCATCCATGTTGTTGCAAACAGTAACCTCCGTTTCAACCTCATGTTTCAATATTTTTCACAGCATCTTATCTTAGATTGATTCTACTTTCAGATTAATTCAAGGACTTAACTGCCCCAAATCTTAAACTGATTATCAATTTTCTACTAAATCCATATAAGAACATGTACAAGAAAGTGAATTGTTCTACATTGTTTCAAATGCCTACAACTGTCATTCTCCTTCAAGATCTGGGGTTATTCTTCAACTACAGAAAATGACTAAGATGTGCTCTCCAGGGCAGGCCTGCCCTCCAGGGTCTACTCTGACCCAGGCTCCCTGTGAGGAAGAGCCCAGTGGGTCAGCAGGTAAGGAGTGACTGTGTGCTGCCTGCAGAGTGCGTGTCAGCTCTGCTCCCCATGTGGAGGCCACAGTGAGGGGAGGCCCCCAGCCTCTCACCCCCAGCAGGGAGCAGCTCTCGCCCTGAAGAACACTTACTTCAGGGGCCCCATCCTCCCAGGAACTCAGGCAGCCTGCCGAGTGGGACTCGCCAGAGCCAGGCGCTCCCACCACACGCGGGGCACAGTGAGGCCTGCCCAGTGGGAGGCGGGACTTGCGCCTCCTGCCAGACAGGAAAGTTGCCACCCAAGGCTGGTCTGATGGGGCTGCCTCGTTATCACAGGTCAGGAAACAGGTACTGCGGGACAGTAGTGGTTTGACACCCCCTTTTTAGTAACTGCCCACTGGGAGCCTAGGCTATTCCCTTAAACTTAAACAAGAAAGCATCCACAAAAGCCATACACACATCCAAGACCTGTCAATTTCCTAAACAGACATTTATGGTTGAGATGAGAGAGTAAAGAAAAATTTTACTGGACATTTAAAATGTTCTAGGAAACACTGCCAGTCCTTTTCAGAGTAAATTCAGTCAAAAAGAAACCCACTGGTACATACAAGTATATGTTTGAAAATTTGAAAGTCTACCCTTGACAGCTAAATCAAAAGCAAGATCTCTTGCACACAAGTGACTTACATCTGGGAGACATGTGGGCATCTGTCATTGTCAAGCAACAACTCCAGGACATACCTCGGGACACTGCAGGCTGGGAAACAGGCATCGTGGAAAACACCTGGTTCTCACGTGCATGTACTCAGAGAGCCAAGACCTCACCCTCCCTCCTGGCGGGCCTCATGCCACAGACACTCTGAAGACAGCGGCTATGCCTTCCAGTAAGGATCCCTCTGCTCCTGAAAGACTTTGTGCAAGCCTCTGGCCCCCAGCGCCTCCCTGCTGGGATACTTTCTGTGCCTTGGCAGGAGCAGTCATTATCAACTGCAACTCAAACGTGCGCTAAGCCCAGCGTGGAGGTCCAGTAGCACCCACGCCTGCCCTTCTTACTCCGTGGGGACCTACCTGCTTCTCAGATGCCCCTCAGGCTGAATGCTGCTCTAAGCATGAGCCCACCCTTTACTCCTGACCACGAGGATCCGGAGTCCAGCATCAGGCGTGCTCAATAAGGGAACAATGAACTCAGTCAGATTCTCGCTGCCTTCCCAGTATCCTAGGCCATGCTCTCCCCACAGACACTGCTGGCTCTCTTCTGCACACACTCACATCTTCACTGCAGCAACACTGGCCTCTCACGGCTCTGGGCATGTGACTTTTAAGAGGACCGTGTCGTGGTTCAGAGCTAACCAGGCCTCGCGGACCTCAGGCATGTTAAGAGTCAGAGGGCGAGACGGAAATGAGGCCAGGACTACAGAACACGTCCGAAGCACTAGCATAGAGGCTGAAGCAGTCTACAGGGAAGAGAACACTATCTGAAAATGCTCAGAATTTATCAGGTGGTCCTCACTCGTGAATGAATGAGTTAAATGAAACAATTCACTATGCTGCTCTCCACCAGGATGTTTGTATGTATGAACAAAATGGACTCTCCGGGTGGGTTTAAAGACAAGGATTAAGCCCATCAGTGACTTTCCCTGGATGACACTCCCTTGATGTCCTTCCCCATCCTCCCAATTTTAAGCTCTGTGTCTTCTTTGATAGACAAAGTACCACTGGGCATGGCTGCTATCTTCCAGCTGATCTGAGAGCTGGGTCCACCACCTATACTCGCACTAATCACGGCCGCTCCAGGCTTAGTTCTGCCTCTCGTCCACACTCTTCCTTTCCTCCGGTCTGCCTTGCCTTCCACTGACTCTCCCGTTATAGATGTGGCAGCTTCCTAGCCGCCTTTCACGGTCCTGTGGTTCACATGAAGTGCAGCTCTCCTTGAACAACACGGGTTTGAACTGCAGAGGTCCACTTACACATGGATTGTTTTCAATAAATATATTGGAAAATGTTTTGGAGATTTGTGACAATATGAAAAAAACATTTTGTAAGAGCACAGTAAATAACATGGAATACTTGTGTTAACTGACTTAATATTATTGGTAAGACTTCTAGTCAACAGGAGGCTGTTAAGTTTTTGGGAGTCAAAAGCTACATGCAGATTTTCAACTGCACGGGAGGTCAGCACCCCTGACCTGAATTGTTTAAGGGCCAGCTGTATATATTTTACTCTTCTATTTTTACATTATCCGAGGCCACACATGGTCCAGCAACATAACAGAGGAGCTGAGTTGCTAATAATACCAGCACTGGACTACCCACCTCAGACACTCTCTCTAGAAGGAGAAACTGCTGCAGCCACTAGGGAAAACAATACAGCTGTTCTGCAAAAAAGTGAAAACAGAAATACTATATGACCCTGTAACTCCACTTCAGGGAATGGACCCAAAGTAAACAGAATCACTAGTTCAGAAAGTTATGTGCACACTTATGTATGTTCAAAAAGATGTATGTTCATTGCCACACTATTCCCAATAGCCAGGAGAGGGAAGTAACCCAAGTGCCCACCGACAGAGGATGGATAAAGATGTGGTACCTACACACAGTGGAATGCTACTCGGCTGTGAAAAAGGAAATCTCCCCATGTGGGACAACATGGATGGACCTAGAGGGCATTATGCTCAGTGACATAAACCAGACAAAGATAAATACTGTATGATTTCACTTATATGCAGACTCTAAAAAACAAAACAAACAAAAAGAAATGGACCCATGGGGGCATGGGTTATAGGGACAAAAGAAAGAGAGAAAGAGAGACCATAAATATTAACAACACAATGCTGGTCAGCAGAGGGAAGTGGGTGGGGGAATGGGTGAAGTAGATGAAGGGCATAAAGAGCTACAACCTGCAAATTGTAAAATAAATTAGTCACAGGAATGGACATACAACATAGAGAATATAACAACAATATCGTAACACCTTGGCGTGGTAATGGGGTGGCTGCTTACTGTGGCAAGCATCTAGTGACATACGTCCCTGTGTTGTACATCTGAAACCAATATAATATTGTGTATCAACTTTATTCCCATTAAAAAAAGAAAAAGAAAAATGTAAGGATCTATCCTGCTTACACACTGATTTTCAAGTCTTTCTTAATTGCCACCAAACCTCTCCTAATCAATATAGCGTATTTCAAATATATAAATTCTATGTTTATATTTCTGTGGCTACTCCATTAAGTTTTTAGGATCTGTTTCAGTTCTTTTTCTCCCAATTACTTAAACTTAACCATGTGCATGTCTCCCCAGCCGTAGCAGTTCACGGCATTCTCATCTCCTCTGCTCCTTACTGCCACCTGTCACTTCACCTGGTTTCTAGGTTGAGATCCCACAAAATTTACTTCTAGACTGTTACTCATGTAGGTTACCCTCTTAAACCTTTTTTCTTATTTATTAAACTTTTACTTAAGTATTACATAGAAGAATACGTAAATCATGGGAGCACAAAAACCGAGGCCTTTACACCAAGTTGCACACATCTATAACGAGCACCAGCCCAGCCCCCACGCTTCCTCCTTGGCTCCCTGTGGCCACAGCTCTTCCCAAGGCTAACTGCATCGTGACCTTGGGCTTTCCTTAGGCCGCACATCCGGGGCTCACACAGCATGCAGGACACTGTGTATGAGACTCCAGGCTGCCACAGCTCTAAACGCACTGTGCGCACAGCAGCTCTTCTATCCAGTCTGATTCCGGCGGACATTCGGGTCAGCTCCAGCCCGCGACGGTGACAGTGGCGTCGGGAACATCTGTGAACTCACGTCTGGGTGAACGCAGAGCAGACTTCTGTTGGTTGTGTGCCTGGCAGCGGATCCCTGAATTACAGATTCTTTGTTAACAATGATTCTTCATGAAGCACTCGATGCCCAATGTCCTAAGATCCTTGTACCAATTCGCATGTCCCATCAGCGGGGACCGACAACCCAGGTTGCTTCACGCCTCCCACAGCACCTGGCACTGTCTGGGCGTTCAGCCATCCTGGCGGGTGCGCAGAGGCACTGGCTGGTTCTCTGTCGCCCCCCGTGGATACCTGTTGAGGCTGAGCGCCCCTCCAGATGCTTGCCTGAGTATCCTCTTCTGTGAAGTGGCGGTCTTGCCCCTCTTCCCGACAGTATTGTCTCACTTCTTTCTTGCTGATGAAGAGGGGTTTCTTTAAAACTCTGGATTAAGCAATTTACGAGACGTGTATTGCAAACAGCTTTTCTCACTCTGTGAACTGAAGTTCTCAGAGGTCACCCACTCTAGGCACGTCCTCCTCCATGGCTCGCAGCACTGTGCCTCGTGAAGGAACCTGCTCACCCCAAAGGCACCACGTCCCGGCTTCTCTGGGCAGCAGGGTGCCCCGCTGGTGCACAGCCCCACGCAGGCCACGGGCCTTGCCCTGGGCCCCCAGCACTGCTCCTCCCCAGGGGTCCTGGAGGGCAGCTCCACGTGGAAAGCCTCCTAAGGTCGACTGTGTCAGAGAAGGAACTCATGTCTTCTTCTCATTTAACTAATGGTTTAGCAGGCTACAGAATTCTAGTTTTAAAGTTTCTTTACTTTAATACTGAAAACTTTCTCATAAATCCACTGCTGCTGTTCAGAAGTTTAATATTGATTTCCTTTTTACTCCTTTGCAACTTTTTCTTTAGAAAAGATCTAGAGTTTACACCTTTGTTGTTAAAGTCCACCGTAATGTCTGTAGTCACAGGCTTGTGGTCTGTCTTGTGTTTAGCATTCTTTGTATCAAAGACCCTTCCCTGTCTGTGACATCCGAGGGGCTCTCAGTCCCTCCATCCTCCAAGACTTCCTCCCCTCTGGCCCATCACTTCCTCCCTGCTTCTGGGTTCCTGCCGTGTGCACACTGACACTGCTGCTCCCGTCCTCCCCCGCACCTTCCCCCTGGGGTCTTCCACCTCTATCCCTCCATGGTGCCTCCGGGAATTCCTCACCCGGACCTTCCGGCCCGTCCCACCTTCGGCTCCATGCCGGCCGCTCCTCACCCAGCCCTGAGCACCGTTCCTAAGCCCCCGAGCCCCCTCATGTCCCCGGCTCCTCCTCTTCCTGAGGGTATTCGCTTTGCTTATTCCGTCCTGCGCTGCATCTGGAGCATGAATTCTGGGGCTGCCAGCCCGGACTGACAACCTGGGGTCTTCCTTTTACTCCAGCTGCGCTCGCACCCGGCTGCCAGAGGCTGTCCGCCGGGAGGGACCGAGCTTCTCCCCTCCTCCCCGTGCCCCCCACCTCCCCGAGAGGCAGGGCCGGACTCCAAGCTCGCAAGGACACAGGCCTGCCACCTCTTCACCTCGGGCCTCGCCCCAACTCTCCGTCCTCCGGCTCGCCTCCGGGCTGGCCTGCGGTCACCTGCCCTGCCATGTTCTCTCCCCACTAAGCCGCATGCTCACTGCTGACCCCAACCTCACTCCTTCACAGCCATGTTCAAACAGCAGCTCAGTGGGGCCTCCCCATCTTCCTGGTTCAATCCACCCCTTCCCAAAGACTAGCACCTGCTGATTTTCTTCCCTGAAAAATACCACTGGACACATGTGTTTTTATCTGTTTTCTGCTCTTTGAGGGTAGGGACTTTGTTTTGTTTACTGCGGTACCCTTAGCATTTGGAACACTGTCTGGCCCTGCTAGGGGAGTGGGGAGGAGAATGAGCCCCTGGAAGTCCACTCAGGACCGATTTACCCTTGGACACTTTCCCGGAGACTAACTGCCAGGGCACCTCAATGAGGCTCTTCACCATAAGTTTCTCGTTCCCTGGACTCAGGACTTCCAGTGCGGTGGGAGAGAAGCAAGGCTAGGGAAGGCGAAGGCCCGGCCGGCACCAGCCTGCTGCGCGGCAAGCTGTCCGCCCTGCCTTCAGCCTGGGCTCCAGCTGTCTTCTGTCACCCCAGGGCATTTCACAGCTTTTACGTCATTTTCTCTCAGCTCTGTGGCATTTCCCATTCCAGGATGGGAGCCAGCAGCCTGGGCTGGCCTGTCTCTGAGTGCCACTGTCATAAGTCACCATTAACTCAGTGGCTTAAGGCACCACAAATTCACTGTCTCCAGCTTTGGAGGCCAGATGTCTAAAATGACTGAGTGAAAACCAAACTATGGCAGATCTGTGCCCCTCTCTGGAGGTTCTGGGGCCCCTGGGGGCTACCCACACTCCCAGCTCAGGGCCTCACAGCTCCTCACACCTCCCTCCTGACGCCCGGGTCTCCCTCTCTTATCAGGACCTATGAGGATGCTGGGCCCACCCAGGACAATCCAGGATCATCTCTCCAGCTCAAGATCTGTAGTCACATCTGCACAGCCCCTTCTGCCATGTACCTAACAGGTTCTGGGCATTTGGACGTGGGCATCTTGGGGGGTGGGCATTATTCTGCCCACCACAGCTAGGAGCTGGTAATCAGGGTTTCTTGACTGGAGTCCGTGCCTAGGCTCCTGGGTGTCTGTGGAACTCTTGAGATTGTTGGCTAAATATGTGTCTTCGTGCATGCTCCTCCAAAGAGAACTCCTAGCTTTCATGATTCCCAAAGGAGTAGCAGCCCCTGGTTATGGAGTGGCCACTATCCAAGGCCTGAGTGAGGGAAAAGCACAAAGACCAACACTGTCCCCTTAACTATCAGAACAGACACAACCTCTCCATCTTACACCGTACGAAAAAGTCATCAGTTCTTCCTGTTCCCTGCTCAGGACATGCTCAATTCCGTGCCACACAGGAGCACCTCCGGAGGGGCCTGGAGGTGCAGTTCAGCAGCAGAATCATTCCGCCAGCACCCAGACCACTGGGCACTGGGCCTGAGCCCCCTCCTTTTCACCAGGGCCTGACTACAGGTGGAGAAAGCGACAGTCCGTACAGACACAGCCCATCAGCCAGGCGGCGTCCCCAGAGTCTGGCCCTTCCCCTCCCCACCTCTCCCCAGGTCACATGACCTTGCTTCCCCCAGACCTGCACAGCAGACTGCGTCCCAGAAGCTAGCACTATGGACTCAGGATAGGAAACCCAGGGTGCTTTATCGTCTGGGAACGTTCCGGGGCACAGGCAGCTGGTCGGGACTGTCTCTCTTACCCGCACGCCCAGCGCCAGGGAGGAAAGCGCACTTACTTTGCCTGCAGGGTCTGCCTGGGCCACGTGCCGTCTTCATTCTGGGGCTCGATCACTAGCACCTGTGTGAGGGGGACCCGTATGAGGACTGGGCAAACCAGCCCACTTCTGCTGGCCACAGCCTGGATGGCGCTGCTGCGGGGGCCTGTCTGGGCCTCCTACCTGACCCTGGTACAGCCCGGCATCCTGCACAGTGCTGTCCAGCTTGCTCAGCTGCTCGTAGGTGTTGCTCATGTACTTGTTCCAGAGCCGCGTCTCACGCTCTGCAGGAATGTTGAACAGCTTCCGCATCTCCTTCTCGATGGTTGCTAGGGACAGGCGGAAATGTCACTCACGGATCTGTCCAGACATGAGGCTCTGCACAGCCACAGCAAGCTAATGCCCGTCTCCTCCCTTTGCAGATGGCTGCCGGGTGCTGGGGGCCCCACGTTCTGACTGACCTTGGCCCCTGTGACTCCTAAGGCCAAACATCTCCCATGGGGCTCCTGCTGCACTCACAGGTACAAAACTTTCCCTGTGCTTCCCCTCCTCTGATGGTGTGGGTCCCACAGAACAGTGAGAAGCTTATCTCTGGAGTCAAGACAGATCCAGCCGAGGATACTGAGTCTGCCAGGTCCCCACTGAGGTCTCTGCGTGAGGCACGTTGAACTCTCTGAATCTGGGTATCTTCCTTATTACCCCATGTCAGGTGGGCAGGAACCATGCCCAGTAGGCCACGTGCTCCACAAGAATCCCCTGGGGGGCAGACTCCCAGTCAGGATGGTAACCACAGCACGGTTTGATCTGGGTAACAAACCTGAAGAGGGTGTTGCCACTCCCTGCCCACCAACCACAATGCTCGTTCGCACTGGGTTCCTGGAAGCCCAGCCCAGCCACTCACCGATGGTATCTGCCTTGCTGAAATGGCAACTCAACACTTTGGTGGGATCGCCATTCTCACAGAGCTTCAGTTCCAGCAAATACACCTCTACCTTGCAGTGCTTGACGAACAGGCCATGCTCCAGCACCTGCAAATGAGAGGCACAGGGCATGGAGGAGGGACTGTGCTTCCACAAGGCAGTGGCAAAAGGCGGGATCCATGAGATAATCATTTAAGTGATGAAGGGGCTTAGAAGTTTGGATGTTTAAAGCCACTGCCATCTGATCTAGGACTTAAGGGTCTTTTTTTCACCTATTAGGAAGCAGAGCTTACAATAGCTCTGTGTGTCCCAAAGTGGGGATGGCGGTGCTGGCTCCGCAGGGCCTGCTGCATTAGAAGACTAGAGGCCAGAGTTAAAATCCCTTGGCACAACGTGCACATGGCAGCACTGTGGGCATTAGGTGATGTTGGCAGGAGGCTGGCCTGCCCCTAACCTTTTGATCCCCAATTCCTCTTATGGTCCCAGGTTTCAAGCTGAAGAAAGAAAGTAGTTCTAGCTCTAAACAGTGACTGAGAAGCATGGCCTCGGACTGCAGCTCTCCCCTGCTCTGCTGAGGGTGGGGCGCTGCACAGCACGCATAACAAGTTCGCCCAGGGCCCACCAGTCAGCAGGCACACGGGCTCTTATCATGTCTCCTCTGCCAGGGGAACAACTGTGGGAGTCAGGCGGGTGGTGGTCTCCTCCGAGTCCTGGCTGCCAGAGAGGCCACCCCCCCCCTCTCCCGGGTTGTATCCCAGAGCCTGCCTTCACTCCGGAGCATACTCTTCTATGGGCTGTTAGAACCTGTTTTCTGAGATGCTCAACAGTGTGGCCACACTCTTAAGCACAGGGAGAAAGCAGTATGAGAGAGACTGTAAGACAGACATTACTGTAGGCCCATATGCCCCAGGGGGATTTCTCTCATAGGGCCTTCCAGAAAGTGCTCTCATGGCACCAGACACACCCAAAGTCCTTGGGCAGCCCTGATGTTTGGAGGCCCACTCAGTACAGCATCCTAGGTGAGCAGCCTTACTCATGCCACTCACAACCACAATTCCCTAAAGAGAACCAGAAAAAAGGCCCCAAACACCCCAACTGTTGCAACCCCTAAGGTGCACCCAGTATCCCAGAATGCCAACACGCAGTGACATCCCCAGGGAGCATGCAGACACGGGCTGGCAGGGTGACAGTTGTGCACTTACTTTTCTGACAATTGGCTGCTGGCCCTCTACACAGCCATACCAGGTCAATAACTTATTCCAGGCTTCAGCTGGGACCAGTACATAGTCCAATTCATCAATTAAATGTTCTTTTAAGGTCTGACTCTCAGTATCTGAAAAAGGAAAACAACACATAATTCACTGCTCTCTCCCCAAGAGTGTTTGCTTTACATGATTCTTAGGTACTTTTCAGACGTAAGAAAAGTATTTATAGGAACAGGTACAAAATTTCAAAATTCTGTCACTGGTCATAACACAGAGCAAATCTGACTACTTGTCTTTCACTATGCTTTCCGAACATTCCAGGAAGAACTTGTCCTCCCTCTATAACTGGAGACAGAAGCAGGGAGGAAAGAAGAGAGAAAAACTCCAATTTATATTTTCAAAGTGCTTCTTAAAATTGTTAATTATAAATACTTATAATATTCTGATGAAACTGTCATAAGATCACATATAGCCTTACCCTGAAAGATTCATCAAAAAAAAACAAATGAGTCACTGACGTTAAGTTTCTATCAAGAGTCACTGAGCATTCTTAGCTTTTAATACTCCAAGTTAAAGCCCAGCTGGACAGGCCCTGTGGAGGGAGCCAGTGTTTAAAACGACAGACGTCTGTCTTGCATTCAGCAAGGATGGGCAACCTGGCTGGCGTCAGAAGTGCTCGCCGACGGAGGGCCAAGGAAGACTGACCACCGCCCACCAAGGGAGCCTCCCAGCTAAGGCAGGGCCATTCACACTCACTCCCACAAGGGCAGCCACTGTTCCCCAGACAAATGAAGCTACCAACCAGGGAGAGCGAGAAGAACCCACTGGGGGTGACTCTGCTGTGGCTAAAGGCAGACAGGGTTAAGAACAAAAACAAAACCCACAAGTGAGTTCAAAGGTGCCAGGGCTTCCCACCACCATGCGTGCCACCAGCTTACAGCCCACCCTATGAGGCCTTCTGCCCATCTTCAGGGTGAGCTCAGATCAGACTCGCCTCTCCTTTCTTCATTTCAAAGGAAAAGGAAAGGAATTAAATGGGCTTGGAAAACAGGAATAGAAATGTGAGACAGATGAGTGGATAAACAAAATGCGGTGTATACACACAGTGGAACATCACTCAGCCTGCAAGTGGAAGGAAATTCTGACACAATGTGTTAACACGGATAAACTCTGAGGACATTATGTTAAATGAAATGAGACAGGCACAGAAAGACAGATACTGCACATCCCCTTATATGAGGCATCCAGAGCAGTCAGGTTCAGAGGCAGACAGCGGACGGTGGCTGCCAGGGACTGGGGGAGGCGGAGAGTAGGAATCATTGTTGAATGGCTATGGCGCTGCAGTTATGCAGGATGAGGAAGTTCTGGAAATTAGGTAGACAACTATGTGAACATACTTAATACTACCTAAAAATGGTTGAGATGGTAAATTTTGTTATCTGTATTTTACCATCATCTACCAAAAAAAAAAAAGGTAGATTTCCTATTTGATGAGCCAACCACTTTGCACACCAGCGCTGGCATGATTAACACTGACAGACCAAGTCTCTATTTTCTCTCTTGAACAAGACTTCTCTGTCCAGCAATAGGAGGATGGCTCACGGCTCATAATACTTGAGTCTGCTTGAAATAAGAGCTTCAAAAAAACTGACACCTAATTCCAGTTTTCTCTAATTTACAAATTAAAACTCCTGTAAGTTATTCACATAGTATCTTGGGTGGAGAGATGTATCTTCATTTCTAACACAAAGCACTGTACAGACCTGGCAACCCACACTGCGCCAAACGGCAGCTGGGAACCTTCACATGAAGGAAAGGACCTGTAATTTCCAGCATTGCCAACCCAAGTCCATGGGTTCTACAGGGCTCCTTCCCTTCCGAGGCTCAGTGACACTTTTCCCTGAACATGTCATTCTCAGGCACTACAGTACAAATGCAGGAAACTTGACCGGTATTTTCAATGCAGTTCACTATTGCCCTTAAAACTGGATGAGTCCAAGGGCATCATACTAAAAACCACACAGGGGTTTTGAAATAAGGATTTAGCCTCCACAGATTTCTTCCACAGAGAGGCAAATAAAGGATGAAAATGAGAGCCTGGCTTATCTAAGCGCAGAGATTCCATCTGAAGTTACCAGGGGCTTGGGTGAAAATGAGAGAAGAGGTGCTCTACAGACATCAGCAAGGACATGCTCTATCCACCCTGCCCACCTCCAGCAGCCCCTTACAGGCCACGCCCATGACCCCAGGTGAAAGGAAGGCGGCTGAGAACCCGGGGACCAAGGGGCAACCCTCGTTTGCCAGAGAAAGGTCATTTCCATACTGTCAGTGTTCCAGGACCTGAACTTCTCAGGCACACAGCAGATGACAGCAAATGTTTCAAGCCAAAGCGAGACTGCATTGAACTGAGGACATGGAAGGAATGCATGCCCTTAGCTGAAAGTCACAAAAGATGATGTCAGAGGGCCTCTCCAGATCTAGGATTCTCATCACTATTACTACTGAAAGCCCTAAGAGCTCACCTTTCCAAAAGAATGAGGGGAAATGAGAAGTGCAGGCGTAAGGCGGGGATCCCTGGGGGCTTCCCGGTATGAAGCCACCACCCAAACCTCCGTCAGGAAACAAAGCCATGACATTGTTTACTATGCCACTTAGACCTCCCTGAAGCGCAGGCTGAGCTGAAGCCCTGGCTAGATTTTAAAAACACCCACATTAGGTTAGATACTTGGATTATGCCTCATTGTACTGTCTGCCTTCCTGCTGCCCTGATTTTGGGCACAGGTGACAGATCACCTCTGTCCTGCTTGCAAAGGAGTCTAAACCTAGGTGAAACAAAGCCCAGCAAAGGCCAACTGTCGGGTCTATTCATCTACAGTTCCAAGTCAAGCTCAGTATATCATACATCACTTCTCCAAACACTTCTTTCACTGGGGGCTAATTGTGATCATAACCCCACTAAGCGCCCACTTCCTGCACACTACTTTCATGACAAACATCGTCATCACAGGAACGACTGATAAATGCAGACAAGCCTATGATTCGTTACACTGAAAATGGAGCAGAGAATTCTGGTTCCCAAGTTTCAGATGCCAGATGCAATTTCAAAATGCTATTGTATTTCTTTCCAATCCACACACTGATCTAAAATACGAAATCTCTAGCAGAACTAATTTGCAAATAAAAGAGAGAGTCAAAAATACTATAAGTATACTCTTGTTAGAAGCAGTTAATTTAGGGAAAAAAAACAGCCTATCTTCTCCCTGAGGGTCTTCCAACAACTTCTGCTTTAGGTGCAAATCAAGACACTTGTTTCTATTCCCTCACTGTAGGAAAAGCAGGCTCACAAAGTAAACAGGACCTCAGGCCACTGCATAAGTGGGTGTGTCAGTTAGAAAAGCCACGGCATACTGCACCTGCAAAGAGTCCAGAGTTATCTATGGGGCCAGGAAACACGTTGTGTTCGCCCACGCTGTATATGTCCCAGCTGTCGAAGCCCACATATTTCTTCCATTGCTTGAACCATCGGCTGTCAATAAGATACCTACAGACACACAAATATTTATTATACCAGAAAAGCTGAGGTCATAAGTTTCTGCAGTTTTTCCACTTGGGGGAACACCCAATTCCCACTGAAAAACACTCTCTCCAGCAAAAGCAGGGCCACGCCCCACATGGCACAGAGAGCCTGGCCAAGGACAGACATCCATTACATGAAATAGTGTTGAAAGAATGAATAACTAAAAAGTAGGAAATGACCGGCTTCAAAACACTGATTTTAATGAAGTCTTTCTATGCGTAAAATCTTGTTTGCTAGTGACCAAGGCAGTAACTTCATAATGATCTTTACAGAGATCCTTAACTAGATAGATAATTTCGTTACACTGTCTTGCTTGATGTGAAGAGCATTAAACTAATTTTCTTTCTGAAACTGGGTTAACACCTTAGACCTTCAGTTTTAATTTGAGGGCCAAAGGAGGTATCAAAAAATACGTTTATGTGTATATGTTTAAGTGTGTCCTACATACATACACCCTGGTATCTAGGTATGCTTTTCTTGTCAAAAAGCATCACATCTATCTGATTATATTTAAAAGTTTCACCACACTATTTTTACAATTAAGACAGAAGGGATATAGGGAATATAGTATATTTGTATGTTGACAGATGGTAAGAACATTTATTGGAGTGAGCATTTAATAATGAAGGTAACTGCTGAATCACTGTGTTGTACACCTGAAACCAACGTGATACTGTATATCAACTTTATTTCAGCAAGAAAAAGGAGGGGGAAACCTTTTTCTTTTCACAGGGGGGACAAAGTTTATTGGTGCATTTTTCAAATTTTATCTCAAACATCAGAGGAGATCAGTTTCCCAGAGGCCACAAGGATTCCTAAATACACCCAACTCCCTAAAATGCTCTTTTCCCTCCAAACCCCTTGAACGATACCCTCCAAACATTTTTAGTGTGTGACTGTAGGCAATCTCAAACTTGCTCTGGTTCTGCTGAGTATTCGTTACATACCACCCGTATGTAGGGTCACTTTCCAGGGCCCCTCTGCGTGCTGGCCATTAAGGGCCCGGCTAGCTCTATGACACTGAAAAACCCCACGCGAATTCCTCCTAACCCCAATGTCTCTCTTCCCTGCTCGATTTCTCTGTCGCTGTAGGGGCAATACCAAGTGCCGCCACCACCACGGTTTACTGAACAGGGATGCTCAATCACATTCAAGGCAAGCCAAGGCCTAGGGTTCTTCTCCCACACGGTATCACCCAGGAATCTCTTCACTCGTGCAAGTACTGTCCCTTCTACTAAACAATTTGAGAAATTTCTTGTCTCAGACTTGCCCTTCTAAATCCTGGACTTAAAATTTTCTTATCTAGCCTCTGGGCTATCTTCTCCCACTCCGAAATGCTGCTGTCGCAACTATTTTTGACATTGGCTACCAAAATAACCTGGGCCTTTCGGACATTTGTTCTGCTTCTGACCTTGACATCTGTTCGGCAGTTTACAAGTTACAAAGTGTCTACTTCTGATCTTCGCCTCAACCCACAGGGCGGGGGACCGAGTGGCAAATACTGCTACCCGGGTTTTAACAGCAAGGAACCGAGGTCTGCGAGGAGCGGACGCTTCGCTCAAGGTCACAGAGCGCGAGTCCTCGCAGGTGAAGAAAGGGCTGTCCGCACAAGGTTCCCGTGAGCGCTCCCCTCCTCCGGGTCCGGCGGTCCCCGCCCCCGCCGGCTTCCCCCGGGGCTCGGAGGAGGCCGCGACGGCCCTCAGCTCCGCCCGCCTCCCCGGAGGGGGTCCTGAGGCCTCCCCTCTGGAGGGCAGGCGGCAGGCGGCCCGTCAGGCGCAGGACCGTCGCCCCGGCCCAGGCCCTGCCCCAGCCGAGGGGGCACCGGCCCGACGGCCAGAGCCCGGGCCCGGCCCCGCGCAGCCGGAGGGAGGGCCCGGCGCTCACCACTGCGCCCCTCGCTGGAGCGTGGTCCTCATTAGGGCTCCGAGCTCGGATTTCTGGGTCTCCGCATCCGGCCGCTCAGGGCAGCCTCCGCCTTCCGCCATCTTGTCCGCGGCCCCGGCCCAGCCGGTCCGGACATCCGCCTCGCGCACGGCGTGCCGTGGCCACGCATGCACGCACGCACGCGCCGCGACCTTCTCTCCCCGCCCCGCCTTCGGCCTTCTTCCGCGCGTGCGCAGGAGGAGAGGACGGGACGCTGTCCGGTCGGCCGGGGGACGGCCCTTCTGACCCATGGCGGGCCGAAGCCTGGAAGTGCTCCGCTCCGCCGAGAGCTTGGAAAGGGCCGGGCACCGGACTGCGCGCCCAAAGCCCGGCCTCCTTCCACTCGACCCTGCGGGGAAGGAGCGGAGCCCGGGGGGAGGCCGCCCCTGGCCCATCCCACCGAGCAGGCCGAGCAGATGATCCGGCCGCGCGGCCTCGCAGCCCAGTAGGCTTCCGAGCGCGGTCGGGCGGGGACTCGAGGGGACAGGCCGCGAGGCTCTCCGGACAAGAGGACAGGACCCAGGAGAGGAGAAGGCCCCTGAGCAGGCCGCCGCCGCCGCCCCGCGCCAGACGGGCCGCGGGAGGCGCGGAGCAGGCGAGGGCGAGGGCTTCCTTCCCCCGTGGGCGCCCAGAGGTCCCGCGGGAGCCGGTGGCGCGGTTGCCCTGGGGGAGGGGCGGCTCCGGGGACGCTGGGGGAGGTGCTTTAACAGATGTACTACTTCGGTGCTGGGCTTTGGCTCCTGGAAATTAATTTGTACCTGGGTCATCCGTCGCCCGCCAAGAGGTAGCAGGCCTCTTGGCAGTAGCGCAGAGGGCCGGGGGACGTAGATTTGGATTTGAAACTGCCCTGAACAACCACGTAGCAATTAATCCCTTGCAGGTAAGAGTTACGACCACCTGACAGTTCTACGTCTTGGGGAGCCAACACCGACCACCCGAGTGCCCTTCCTTCTGTGAAAGTTCTTTGAAGTTGTTAAGAATATTCTCAAAAGACAATCATTACCTTTAGTACTGTTACTTGGGGGAAAAGAAGGTTGGATTACTGACTTTACATCAGAACCTACATTGGAGGGTGTCTGTTTCCCTCCTTTTCTTAGCAATTTCTCCTATGCCATTTATGGCGTGGGTCAGAGTCCTAAAGAAGTGGATCAGGTCCTCAACAGCACTAGAAATCTAATTATAAAAATGAAAACTTTGGAAAACCTTCTCAAGTCAAGATCTCCAAAATGCTACTCACGGCTGTTAACACAGTGCACTAATTATGCATAGTGAAGAGTTTATACTAAGATTACAAAAGTGCTAGTAGTTAATATGCAAGGAATAAAGTGAAAGTTCATGGTCAATGGATCATTATTTCCAAAGTTTGAAGACTTTTCCAGCGGGTTTGATTTAAATGTTACATACTGAGAACTAGGAAGGAGCGACAGCATCTGTCTGTGTGTCCCTGCTATTGTGGGAGTGACTGCAGATTTGGGAGGAATAAAGTGATGAAGCTCTGACTTTCCCTGGCCCCAGGGCTGTGTTCCCCTTGGGCCATTTGCCCCAGGGAGAGGTGTAGGCCTAATAGGACACTCACTTGGCTCCATGACCGAACCTCAGGACTGAACAACCCACCCGCTGCCATAGGAGCACAAGTCACAAGAGCAGGGGACAGGCCTGGCTGACCAGTCACATGCTGCTTCATTGCAGAGCTGATGCCCTAATGAAGGGTTTGTAATGTCTCGGTGTGTGACTTTAAGCAGTTTGTCTTCAAATCTTAAAGTGTCCCTGGCTGTTACTATGGCTTGATCCCCACCTACCTGAAGTTGGCCCTCCCGTGTCACCCCTGGTCTTCACTTGGCCTGAGGTCACAGAGCACACGAGGCGGTATTCACAAATTACAGGCACTTTTTGATTAAAGGTGCTTTGGCATTGGGAGAAAGTGTGTCCTTCTTGCCTGCCCTTTACTCTGCCCAGGAGACTGGAAAGAATAAAAGACTATAGAAAGTTCATTTTAGGAGAATTAAAGATCTTAATTAGAGACATAGCCTCAGTTGCAGTAGGATTAGGTTCCTGGGGAAGGTAACAGGCAAAATCCTGAAGGAGTCTCACAGAGAGGAAGTCGGGTCGTCTTGCCTGCATGGGAAGCATGTGCTGTTGGACAGATTCTCTTCTGGTTGTACCACCGTTGGTGACCAGCCCTGATTGGGTAGTGGGGAGGGGGCCCACAGGCGTGGGTAGTTTCGTCTGTTCCTTTGATTCTATTGCCATCAATGTCTTAACCATAAAGAAATACTTAGATGTTAACTGTGTGTGGTGTTTGCCTTTTGCACAGAGCAAATTCTCAGTAGGCATTTCTTGGATGAATGAATTATCTAGATAACAGTCATATTTTCATCTAATATCTATTCTGAGCTCACAATCCCTCCCCTGCAGGGATTCACAGCCAGTGTGCTTGGGGAAGATGTTTTCACAGGTGATCACAGCATTGAGTGTCGAGTGAGCAAAGTGCTCCACGAACATGGAGCATGATTCTGTCGACACTGTTGGAAAGGAAACTAAAGCAACTGGTACAAGGAGCTGAGCAGGCTTACCACTACCCCCGCCCTTGGCGGGTGGGTGAGTCTGCAAGGGATGCCGAGGGGACCAGGGCGGCTTTAGGTGAACACACGTGCACAGGCCGAGGAAACAGGGTGCCCTCCACCTGCCTCCCTCTGGAGCCGGGTGGCCAGGAGGGCTGTTGGACACAACCCTGGATGCTGCTCTGACTCCAGGTATTTGGGTTCAGGGACCTGTTTTGTGCCCTCCTTCTGAGGCCACAGGTACGCGGGACCTGGGGTGGGGTCCTGGGCGTGGGGGTTCTGTTTGCAGCACGTGCGGTGGAAAGGCTGTGCGTTCCAGCACCTCATGTCAGTCTCAGGGCTTCTGGACGCAGCTGACAGAACCCACCAGCAAGTGCCCTACTTAGGTGGGGATCTTTTGTGGTCTTTTATTTAAGTAAAGTTGATATACAACATTATATTGGTTTCACCTCGTGTTTTTGTTTTCCCAACTGACACGCCTGGAGTTGAATTCTTGGTGTGGGGGGGTCAAAGATGAAAGATGCTGGGGCTCAGAGGTTGCCTCTCTGTCCCCCCAGAGCCAGGGCACATGACACCCCACCTTGGACAAGAACTGTTCTTCTTTGTGCCCCCACATCTAGTCCAACACTGCCCGACGCAGGGCATGCTTCACCTTTGTATGCAGCAGAGATCTTCCAGCCTATTTGGTGATCGTAATGAAAAAAAAAAACCTGTCAAATTTAGAGTACTCTGATGGGGGTCACTGCCCAGTGTTTAAAACTCCATACTATACTCTCTTGGGGAAATGAGCAGGCAGTTGTTACTTAGCGTTACCTCAAAGTTCGAAATGGTAAGATTTATTATTAGGCTGATCAGACCAGCAATGCTTCTCTGAAAATAAGTTTGCTTTAAATGTTTGAGGAACTATATAGAGACCAAAGAAGGAAGTCATCTGATAAAGGGCTAATTGTGCAAGAAGCGCCACACTGAATTTTAGCAGATTTTTTTCCCACAGCTTTGGTGAGGTTTAAAGTGTACATCAAGACAATATGATATACATACATCTAATTTTAATAGATTTAATGTTTAAAACAAAACGAAGCCAAACAAAAGGGGGGAATAAAAACAGTATTCCTGGAAAAACTGCTAAAATGGAAGCCTCTATACGTAGTTGAGCAGCAGTTGAGTCCCCATTGCTTCCTTAGAAGCCCCTCTACCACCAAAGGCTGGGACCTCAGGCAGGCTCCCTGGGGTTCCTGCGCCAGTATCCTGCCTTTGAGCTGCGGATTCATGGTGGGGTGGGGGGGGGTGGGGGGGGGGGGGGAGGGTGCAGATCGGAATCAGTAGCAGTTACAAGGTGGAATGAAGAGTGTGTCTGGGCGTGTCCTGTATGTGCACATGGGGAAGCCCTGTCCTGGGGAGGATGGAGCGTTAACTGGCTTTATTCAGTCTTCCTGAAGCAGAGGGTCAGAAAGGATGCTGGGTTAAGGAGGCAGGCTGCTTGAAGTTTGAGGAGTGTCCTCCTGCCAGGCTGGGCCACACTGAGCGCTCAGAATTTGTTCCCCAGGCATAAACTGAGCATAACAATGAGTGGGTGAGGAGGCATGAGTCACCGGGCAGAAGAGGTTGGAGTCGTCCGGAAGCCCTGGGTTCCCATCCTGGAACCTAACCAGCAGGTGTGGCAGGGGCTGCACTGACCCTTTACAGGAAAAGGGGACAGCTGGGGCAGGAAGCCTCTCATGTGTCTGGCTGATAGGTCACCGAGTAGGACCCTACGTCCCCACTCTCCCAATCAGTGGAGGTTTAGCTAGCACCTAGGTGGTCCTGGGCACTTGTGTAGCTGCCAGAGCGGGCCTGGCCGTGCTGTGCACTTGGGTATCTGGCTTCAGCTCCAGCTGTGCCTTGGAAGCTGATTTCAGAAGAACTTGCAGTCCCGGTGCACTCGGCCCACCCAGCTGCCTTCCTTCTGAAACGTCCCGGCCCTCGGCTGCCTGGCTCCGCCCTGGTTCTTCCCCACAGTGGGCCTGCCAGGGCCTGAAAGGGTTGGGAAGCACAGGCCCCAGGCCCAGGCTCCCCTGGGCTTTTTCTTGCCACTTTCCCAGGTGACCTCAAGCTCTCCAGTGGTTGCTCCTGTCCCCTTGGCTACACCTCTGTCTTCAACCCACAGTCCTTTCCATCTCATAACCACCTGTCCCAGGGATCTCCGTGTGGATCTCACGCGACATGTCTGAATCTGCACACACGCCTTTCCCCCCAAACCTCTGCCTCACGCGATGTGCAACTCAGCGAGATACCACCTGAGGCCCTCACACTGTCCTCCGTCAGCTCACTTCTTGGCCAACTCATTGCTTGACCTCTCTTCAGTTCTGCTGCCATGTCCTTCAGGAGGCAAGCAAGTAGCCCTCCCTCCGGGGCCAGGCCCTCTGGGAAATGCCCGGTACTACCTCAGAGCCAACCGTGCTCAGTAATTGTAGCATCTTCCTCTTCCTGCCATCCTGAGATACCCAGTGGGCACAGGGCTGAAGGATGAATGTTGCAGTAGGGTGCAGAGGGCTCTCAGGGAAGGAACGTGGGGCTTCGGGGTGGCAGATGGCCGGTGTGTACCCAGATATACTGAGATGGGCAATTGTTATTCTCCATCCCAGAAGGCAGATTTGGAGGCTACAAATGATGCTCAAAAAGCTCTGGTCCTGTTTTGGGTGGAAAGTCTTTTGTTTTTATTGACAAACGTGCTGATGCATGTCACAGGCAAGGCCCTGCAGGCTGATGAGCAGCCCCGTCCATGCACACGTGCACTCCAGACTGAGCTGAGGGCGGCAGAGGTGTGCGCGGTCCACAGGTGGACAGATGGCAGGGCCTCAGTCAGGTCTGGGGGCTCACGCTGAGGCGGAGAGGCCTTGTGGCGTGAGTTCTGGTGCGGAGGGGAATGGAGGGCCCTCCATACCTCAACGACCTAAGGGCAGACACAGGGGGAGGCCCAACAAGGATTCCTGTTCAGGACTGGAGAACTGTTCTGACCCGGAAGAGCTAAGCCACCCATTTGAACACACTGGGAGTCCAGACCTCTGGCCCACATACTGTGCTATGGGTGACCGCCGGAGTCACTGGGTCCTTGTCTGCCCAAGCTGTGACCACACCCTGCAGAGTCCCAGTACTGATAGGAAGTGGTTCCACGTCTGCCTCAAAAGATTGGCAGCAACACCCACAGATGGAGGCTGGGCCGAACCACACCTAAGCGGCAGCAGCTGGCCCCGTCCAGCTCAGGTGTCTACTCTTCCCGCGCTGAATGCGCCAGCGTCAGAGCAGATACAAGCCGGGGCAGCAATGTGCAAAGATGAAATATTGCATGAGTTTCCGGCTGTAAAATGGGCCTTACACTTGGAGAGGCCAGACTCTGACTGGGAGTGGGCACCCACGGAGTTGTCTTCTGCGATGGCCATTCACACCCAGCAAATCCTCAGAAAGGGAGAGGCCTACTACTCCTGGGGTCAGGAACTGAGCCACCGGTTTTTCTTTTTGGAGTGGGGCCAGCGGGGGGCAGAGCGGGAAACCCTGGGAGGAGGCGGCCTTCACACACAGTGGAGAGGATTCCCTCTGCGGACACGAGGGCCCAAGTTCAGGCTTGTCTGGGACGAGGGCCAGCGGTGGGGGCTCCAGTTCGGAGCACTGTGCCCACGCGGTTGGAAGAGGTGCCCCCCCCCCACCCCGCTGCCACTGACACCCGACACACACACAGCGACCTGCGGACACCCACACTTTTATTAGGGAAGCACGTGGGCTTCAGGGTTGGGGGAGGACAGGACCAGCGCCCACCCGGGGATTTTCTTGGACATCAGGCATTCCTCCTTCCATGTTTAGAGGCAACACCATCATGGCTGAAATCCCGGGGTTGCTGCCAGGCCTGGGGAGGAGCGCCATGCTAGGCACAGCCGGGCACCGCGGGCAGCAGGGCTTCGATGTCGGGCTCAATGTCGATGGTGGGGAAGCGGCGGCTGTACCTGCGCACGGGCACCCCGTCCGGCCCCACCAGGAACTTCTCGAAGTTCCAGGCGACGTCGCTGCGGCACACGGGCGACCAGGTGATGAGCTTGGGGTCGGTCATGAGCGCTACGGCGTCGTCGCAGGGCGCGGGCAGGGCCTCCCGCAGGAAGGCGAAGAGCGGGTGCGCGCCCGCGCCGTTCACCTCGCACTTCTCGAAGAGCGCGAAGCCGGGCTCGAAGCCGCCGCCGGGGCGCAGGTGCTGCAGCGAGCGCAGGATCTCCTCGCCCTGGCCGTTCTCCTGCGGGCGCGCGGGCCGCTGCGTGAGGCGCCGCCCCGCCCCCCGCGCCCCCCGCCCCCCCGCCCCGCGCCCCGCGCCCCCGGCGCACCTGATGCCCGAACTGGTTGCACGGGAAGCCGAGCACCACCAGGCCCCGGGGCCCGAGGCGCCGCTGCAGCTCGTTCATCTGCGTGTAGTCGCGCACCGTGGTGCCTCAGAGCGACGCCACATTCTCGATGAGCAGCACCTTGCCGCGCAGCGAGCCCAGGCTCACGGGCTCCCCGCCGGCCAGCGGACGCGCCGAGAAGGCGTACACGGAGCGGAGCGCGGCGGAGGCGCACATGGCGGGAGCGAAAGAGGCGAGCGGCGCGGGCCGTACTTCCGGCCGCCAGCCCAGGCCCGGCCCGGCCCGCCCCTTCCGGCCCCCCGCGAGGCGGGAGGGCGCGGCTCCGCCGGATGCGGCCACCGCCCAGGCCGCGCGGCGCGGGCACGTTGGGTCCCGCCCAGGCGGCGCCGAGGGTTTCCGGCCGGGGGCTGGGCCCGGCCCTCCGGCGCGCGCCCTGTCGCTGTCCCGCGGTAACGGGCGCCCTGGGTCGCCGGGTGCACGCAGCAGGTGTGACTCGCGGTGGCGGCGCAGCTGGCGACGGCCGCCCAGGCGAGCTGTCTGCGGTGACGCCCCGTGGTTCCGGGAGTGGGCAGTGCCGGGCAGCTAGGGTTGGGGCCCCAGCTCATCTCCCTGCACCCCGCGGCCGCCCGGAGCGTGCCCAGGCCTCGAGCACCCTTCCCGTCGCGGCAGCAGCAGGCAGGGCCAGGCGGGCCAGGCGGCCTTCGGGCCATTCCCTGGGCCCAGTCAACTGCATGGGGAGCTCAGTCTGACGCTGAAAGTGAACGGAGAGTAAGGAAATGACCACACGCCGGGGATCCATCCAGAGCCGCTGCTGGCACTGCCCTGCGGTCTCCTCGGTAGGCTGCAGCCCCCCTGCAGGGACCCTCCAGGGCGAGCCGGCCAGCCCACTCTCCCACCCGAGCAGGGAGCAACACAAACGCCAGGATACAGGAGGTTTAGAAAACTGCCTTTATTCTATTAGTAGTTGGAAAAATTAAGTGGTACAGAAAAAAGTTCAGTCAGCTGGAGAGAGGCAGACCCGGCGCCACCCAGGAGACGCGCGGGCCCCTCCGGAGGGCGTGAGAAGCCGCGCTGGGGCCACACCGCCTGCCGCAGGGCCGGCCAGGGACGCCGCCTTCCGGGTGTCTCCGTGCCTCCGGCGTGAAACCGGGCTCTGCTTACCTAGCCCGGCCTCGGGTTGGGGGTACGGGGACACAAGGGGCCGAAAACCGGCGACATGGCCATCTTTCATTAGAGAAACTGACCAAACGGGAATTTTAAAAATGAATTTTCCATCTGACTTTATTTTTCAAATACACTTTCTTTTTTAAAAAAACCAATACACTTTCTGCAGGGATGACAAAAATCAGTATTAGGAAATCCAATTATACAAAAAATACTACATCTAATTCGGGGTAGATATATTTATTTTTGGTAGCGTACACTGAGTGGCACTAATCACACAGTAATTCTAAGGTAACCAACACAACACCATGGAACTGTGAGTGCCACAGCGGCACGGCATGGGCATGACGCGGCCTTTCTGTCAGCGGGTTCAGCACCGGCTGCCCCCCGCGGAGCTGTGCCCGTGAGGTCTGGAGAGCTCTGGGGCGGTGCCACCAGAGAACCCTGCCGCCGGCGGGACGGGCAGCGCGTGTTAGTTCTAAGTAGTTAGAGCCTGATTCACAAGCGTGACCAGCTGTCTCTCTAGAAAGAAGCAAGAAGTTAAGAAGTTCCTTGAATTAGCGCCTGTGTGTCAGGTGGGAGTGCGGAGGAGGGCAGGCAGAGCTGTGTCACAAGGACCCCAGCGGGCCGGGTGGGCTGGACATCATTGACAATCATGGTTGGCTTCTAAATACTGGTAGCAAGATGACTTCTGATTTGTAATCTTAGGTAAATTATAGATAAATGAAAAAGGCCAGTAATCATACACTAAGATTAATAAACAGCACTTCAAAATTAACCGCATGAGGGCTGTGTGCAGCAGGGTTTCACAAGACAAGGCACCCAGATTTCTTCTTCCCACGTCTGGCTTGCAGAGCAGCTCTCGTGGCCATTTCAAAAACCTCCCTCACTCCATCTTTGGTCTTTGCGGAGCACTCCATGTACCCAAAGGCGCCGATCCTGTTAGCCATGTCTCTGCCTTCTTCCGGTTTTACTGGCTCCTGGCCAAGAGAAAAGGTGCTTTAGGTGACAGTGTGAGATACACAGAGAAAGTGGGTGTAGAGTATTCAAACGCAGCTAAAGGGCCTCTTTTAAAGCTGCCGAACTCCCAGGTTTGAGCTCTCTTATGAAACAACTCCACCCCTGGCATAAAATCCGTCAAACTCGCCCTCCTCAGGCGAGTGGCCGAGGAGCCATGGGGTCTCCCTGCGGCAGTCGGCTTCACAGAGGACTGCATGCTGTGGAGGGAAACAGGTCTGACCCCGACCTTCAGGGCAAGGGGCTGGAGACCCCAGGGCATGCCCACAGCACGGAAGCCCTGCCCCTGGGCCTGTGGCTCCTCAGAAGCCAAGAGGACACCTCCACCATCACTGACCAAGGCATCAGGGCTCTGCACACTCCCCGCCCTCAGGACGTCCTGGTCCTTCCATTGCCACCTGGTCACCTTTAGGCTCACACAGGCCAAGGCGTGAGAGGGAAATGGAGAGCCTGGTGAAGCTCCTGCACGGGGGGCACCCTCTGCTGCGAGGCCCCTTCTCGGGCGGGCAATCCTTGGGGGCACAGCACCACCCCCAGGAAAAGTGCCTGGGCAGTTGAGGACCCCGGGCCCCAGCCAGCGATGGCCAGAGGGTCAGAGAGGCTCCTGGACTTTCTGAAGAAGCCTGGACTGTGACGGCCTCTGGGGGCTCCCGACACTTCCAGCCTGGGGCCCGGGGTCAGGAACACTACAGGGAGACAGGGCCCTGCCCCACACATGCCTGTTTCATCTTGGCCAGTTCCCGCCTGGTGTGCTCATCATTCCGAAGATCCTTCTTATTCCCAACCAGGATGATGGGCACGTTGGGGCAGAAATGCTTGACTTCCGGAGTCCATTTTTCTGGGATGTTTTCTGAAAGAAGCAAAATGCACATAAGGTGGTGATACACACAATTCCATCTTGAAGAATTTCCAAGAACCCTAGCGTAGAAAAATTACTTCAGAAGTATGCTGGGCAATTAATAGAATCTTACCAACTTAAAAAACACAGAGAAAAGCAAAATCTAACTCCCTTTCCTTAAACACAGAATCACCAGCTCTCCTAGGTCCCACCAAGGAGCTCAGCAACTCTGGAGGTGCAGCCCAGGTAAAGGCCCTGGAACACAGGGTGGCTCCATACGGTGTGACCTGCCCACGAAGGGAGGCCCCCCCCACGGGCCACCCCTGTCACTGCTGGTGGGCGACTCTCACAGATTACTGAAGGGGTCCCCATTCTGGGGCTGCAGGTGGCCCAGGCTCCACACTTTTTTATGGACCCTCAGGATGACCCCCACCCTGTGGGCTACCAGTATTTGAAATGGCTCAAGAGTGACATTTTGGCATCTCACTGTTGGGATTCTGTAAAATGTGGATACCAGCGGTACTTACAACAGGATTACTCTGAGTTAATGTGTACAAAGTACGTAGGATGACAGCCATTTAAATGGTACTGGTTGTAACTGAGAGTGCATTTTGGAAATAGATGGTTCACTCTCTGACTTCAAGACAGATTTCCAAAGGCAGGAGTTACTGAGAATATGGGAAGATTCTCTGTCATCTGGCTGAAAGAGCAGGTCAGACATGTCAGACAGAGAACACCTGGGCTGGAGAGGAAGCCCGTGATGTGGTGCTCGCCCCTTCAGCACACACCAGACACTGACTACCCCCTTCTTCCTGTGCAGCAGCTACACCGTAGCTCGCATCACTCAGCTGAAACCTGGAAACTCAGCCTTATTCTGGAACAAAAAGGTTCTCAAAGTAGTGCCATGTCCCACTCTTCAGAGCACACAAAGCCCAGCAGTAGGCTGACACTGGCTTTGCACTTCCTTGGTCAAGACTTTTGAGTTCCCACAACCCATCTTACTGGGGCAAACAACTGGTGGGATTCTCCCCGACTCTCGGGCCAAGACAGCAGAAGTCTCCAACAGTTCCTTGCAAAAACCACGCTAACTCAGTCTTCAGAGGCCCCACCTATGGACCTATCAGGATGGCAATGGCCTCCTGGGAAGGCACAGCAACCCCGGGCCCCACATCAGGCCCAGTCCCCGGGCCCGCCCTCTGCGGAGGGACCAGCAAGAAACAAGCATGACAAAGTAACAGACAGGTCAAAAGCTAAAGAGCTCTTTAAAGACCAGCAGACATGTTCCTAAAAGAGAAAAGTGAGGCTGAAGAGTATTTTGCTCTGAAGGTGTCTGTCCCTATGGAACGACAGCTTAGACGGTGAGGCCGGGCACACAGTGCTCACTCCCAGAGGATTCAGAAAGCCCAGGATCTTTGTGCCTGAGGGGAGGGTGTCACATGGCTCCATTTTCTCTGTGGCCACAAGCTCTGCCCCCACCTCCGGGGCCTTCCATAGCTCCTCACCTGCCAAGGAAGCCAAGTCAGTTTGAAAAACAAAACTAAAACACAACTGTTAAAAATGACCAAAGTGAACCAGGCAGAGAGCCTGCTCTGCCCCAGTCCTGGGAAACACTACACAGTCTCAGTATGGCTCCTGAGTGACCCTGAAAGTGATTAAAGTCTCGGAGCACTCCCAGAACTGTCAGTATATGAGCACAACTGTGACAGAAAATGCCCACAGTCATTGCCCAGAGCAAGCCCACGCCAGCAGCAGGCCCTCGGGGCCTGCCTCTGTTACCAACCTACTGCCTGGTAAAGACAGAGTACCAATGCCCGGCGGACATTTCAACGTCTGTGGGCTGTTTCAGGCCTTGGCGCCTTGCTTTGCAGGGTGTGAGAGAAGCATTATTCGTTTTTTTCCCGAAGGAGAGTGGCTTCTGACATGGAGCCAACTGAGCTAATGCAATGGCCAGGTTCGTCTCTATTTGCTAAGACATGTAGAAAAGGGCTGAAACAGGGCCTTAAAAATACTACTGAAAATAGCAAAACACCAGTCTAGATATTGGGAAGCAGCAGTCTCGATATGAAGGACTGAGCGCAGGTGTGGGCAAACACAGCCTTCCCTAAACGCTTAGTCCAGAAGGATGGCCTTTTGTTTCGTAACCCGTTCATTTCACAAGGTGGACCCAGGGCAGCCATGGAGGCCCAGGCTGAAAGGGACCCAGGGCCCAGCCTCCAGGACTCTGGTTACTGGGGAGTCCTTCTCTGAAGTTCCTGTTTGCCCTCCAGCCAACTGATGCGCAGAAGGGACTTGAGGGCGTAGAGCGCTGGGCAGTGACAGTCACACTCAGGGCCGCTCACCTAAGCTATCAGGGCTGTCGATGGAGAAACACATCAGTATGACGTCGGTGTCCGGGTAGGAGAGGGGCCGCAAGCGATCGTAATCCTCCTGCCCAGCTGTGTCCCACAAAGCCAGCTCCACCTGTGACAGGAAACACACGTGTGCAAGGTTACCCCCTCCACTCTCAGAAACTGGCACCATGGCGGTCAGATGGCAGACTGTCTGAACAGTACAAGAGGGTCTCCTTTTATTAGACTCATGCCTGAAGGTGGAGGTTGTGTTTATATTGTATGAGGTAGCAATTCCTCAAATTGAAAACATGCATAATTCAAAATGTCAAGTCAAAAATAACTCTGTACCCTACAAGAACTATTTAATTTTAAGTAACACTCTACATAGGAAAGAAAGCAGAGATGCGTAAGAAGGGAAATTAAACCACAAGACAAGGAAAAAACAGACAGAGTAACTTTTCCTAATAGGTTCTCATGCAACTGTGCCCTTACTTCATCTCGTCACTCTGCTCTGACTCGGAGACGTGGAGACAAGACTGTCTGTGAGGTGGTGGGTAAAGAAAAGACTCCATGCTGGGGGTCAGGCAAGACCTCAGCTGAGGAAAGGTCTCTGGCTCTGCCTGTACTGCTCAAAAACCTCTGAATGGCTGAATGAAAGCACCACATACAGTGGAGGACAAAATGAGGCCCAGCCTCTGGACGTGGGGCCCCTTTCACACGGCCCATCACTGTGGCCACCCTGTCACCTCTGCTCACAACCAGGGGACTTTTAACATCCTCTGCTCAGGGACCCTTTGGGCTAAGGAGCTCTCCCTCTAAGCTTAGAGTGCTCTTCTGAGTGCCCTCGCAGCAGGGATTTCAGTTTGGAGATAACATTCCTTCCTTAAAGTTAATGGCTAATTATCTCTTCCACCCTCCACCTCTGCTCCAGGAGGCGCTACTCCCAACCTCCACAAGCGCACTGCACTTCCGTCACACACATACCCTCAGCCTGGGCTGTGCATCTGTGACACAGTGATGCCCAATCCTCACTCCTGGTCTACTGTCAGCACGGAAAAACTCATTCACTCCCTGCCAGGTCCCACTCCTGTGGGCCCTCCACGCCTCACAGGTGTTCAGCTGGGCACACACAACCCCAGTTGTTTCCTTATAAATGGTTCCAAGACGCTGGGCCCGTGTCCGGTTGGAAGGAGCCTTTGGGTTACAGCAGGACTCTTCCTGGGCCTGCAGTCACCTAGAATCTTGGACGTCCCCCAGGCTGTGTCAGTGCGCACTCTTACACAGCATTCCCGGGCAGCGCCCTCTGCCTTGGAAGCTACTGAATGGCTCTGAGGCGGGCAGCTAGACCACAACAGCATCTCCCAAAGCAAGCACTTTATTTTAGGGTCTCTTCCCTTGGGTGACAGGGCTCTACTATCTTGCCAGGGTCAGACATGTTTAAAGCTGGCAGGGGAAGAAGATACTCATAGACCATCCTCAAGGTGTTAAGTCAAGGTCCCTGTATTTCTTAGGGGTAAGATCTTGCTTGTTCCAAGAAACCAGACATGAATGATGCTTCAAAGAACACAGAGGGCCACTACTGTCCCTAAAACACATGTACTACCACAGGTGGAAGAGACCTTCCCCGACTGATGGTCACAGATGACAGCAACTGACAGCTGCTCTCAGGAAGGATGGTGAGACCGACAGCACACATTCCCTGGGCGTTTAAGACATGCTGTGAAAGTGCCGACCTGCCCCTACTTCTCAGCTGGGCCTTCTGTGCACGCTCAACCACCTACATGAGAAAATGGGGCTGTTATGTGGCAGCAGGCCCAACAACCTCTGTGCTTTCCACCCAGTTTGTCATCACTGGACCCTGTCTACACAAAACCGGTGCAGAGAAACACCTGTATCCAAGCCTCCACACAGGGAACTGACTGAGGTTGAAATGGCAACACTGCACAGATGCAGGGCAGGACCCAGACAAAATTCTCGAGGGTGCAATTTACTGCTTTTCCCCCCATCCATTCTGGGACAGAAAAGTGCCTTACAGTTCCTAACAGCATGAGGGCAAATGCTGTGGCCAACCCTGCAACTGGACAGAACAGCTACAAACTGTAGAGGGGCCTCTGCGTGTGCTGCTGTGCAGCCCCTTCTGTGACGTGCCTGGTGCCTCTGAATGCTTTCACTCACCTCACAGATGCCTGATGTTTAATCCTCTACAAATGAAGGCAGCCCAAAGATGAGGCGGCTTACTTGAGATCACAAAACCATCAGGGACACCTTATGACAAATGACCCTAAGATGCCGAGTGGCTGGCCTAACGTACTTTCCACACACAGGGCCACACAGTGAGGCCAGGGAACACAGGGACAGGAGGGACAGCAGGCAAATGAGAAGGGAGAAAGGAGCTGGAATCACGGAAGCCAGTGAGTTAGGAGCGAGCAACGTGAGGTGTGTGGCGGAATGCCTGAGGGACTGCGTATGTTAGAGAAGAACCCCTTGTTCTGGGGTTTTCTCTTCAGCTGACCCAGTTGCAGTGGGTAGGAAGCCAGGTGAGATGCGATGTCACAGAAGGGAGCAGAAGATAAAAAATCTGTACGGTGCTCTGATTCCACAAGAGCTTTGCCCCGGTTTTGCAGGGGGCTTTCAGGACAGACAAGGGGAACCACTGTCCTCACCACCAACGATAGTAATTAAAGCAATGGTGGCAGCCTGTTTCTGTTAAAGTCAGAATGCATTTTACAAAATTAAACGTGAGGATGTTGTCTGAATGCCACACTGCTGCTGGTGGAGGTTATGCTTTTATAAGCATGATAAATACGGACCTCTTGACCTACTAATCTCATACTTTAGCACTTAATGAAATACTATGACAGAATTAAAAATCCATCTATATACAAAGAGGTTAATTTTAGCATTATCCATTTGGCAAAAAAACTGCATTTCAAATATAAATAAAGCTGAAAGGAGCACATGCACTGAGGCTTCCCCATGTGAAACAGACACAGATGTGGGCAAAGTCTAGAATGACAGCAATTAAAGATGGACAAAACTGGGCTAAGGAGGCAGGAAGAGAATGGATTTCTCATTCTAACATTTTTTGTTACTGTTATATTGTTTACTGAAGAGAAAAAAAGGCCTTTTTTGCTAAAGGCTCTAGGAATATCCTAGCATGCAAAATAGTACCAGCTGTTAGGGAACCTATACTCACCTGCTTCCCATCCACCTCGATGTCTGCCACATAGTTCTCAAACACGGTGGGCACATACACCTCTGGGAACTGGTCCTTGCTGAAAACGATGAGCAAGCAAGTCTTGCCACAGGCTCCATCACCAACAATCACCAGTTTCTTCCGGATGGCAGCCATTGCTGAAACACGAGGCAAAGAAGCCTATTAGCACGCTCCACTACAAAATGCTGGTATACTTTTCCACTTAACACCAATGTCAAAGTAGAAAGCCATAACTAACATTATATGTAATGGCAAAAAGGCCAAAACCTGAACCCCAAGATCAGGAACAAGACAAGGATGCCTACTCTTGCCACTTCTATCCAAAATGACACGGGACACTAAGGTAAGAAAATGAAATAAAAGATATTCAGATTGGAAAGGGAGAAGTAAAACTATCAGCTCAGAGGACACAACCTTATATACAGAAAATCCTAAGGAATACACTGAGAATTATTAAAACTAACAAATTCAGCAAGTTTGTAGGATACAAGATGAGCATACAAAAATTAATTGAATTTTATACATTAGCAATGAACGAATTGAAAATGAAATTAAGAAAACAATTTTGTTTACAACAGCATCAAAAAGAATAAAAACAAATCAATTAAACAAAGGAAGTACAAAACATACCCTAAAAACTACAAAACATTATTTAGAGAAATTAAAGAATATCTAAATAAATGGAAAGACATTTATGGACTAGAAAACAGTATTGTTAAATGGCAGTATTGTCGAAGTTCATCTACAGATTCAACATAATCCCTACAAAAATCTCAGCTGGCCTCTGCAGAAATTGACAAATTGATCAGAAAGTTCACATGGAAATTCAATGGACCCAGAATAGCCACAAGTCTTGGGGAACTCATACTTCCTGATTTCAAAATTTACTACAAAGCTACAGTAATTGAGACAGTGTTGTAATGTCATAAAGATAGACAACAGTCCCCCAGATCAAGGGAATAGAACTGAGAGTCCTGAAATGAGGCCTCACATTTAGGATCAAGTGATTTTCAGCAAAGATGGTGCTGAGACAACTGGGTACGTGCAAAAGAAAGAAGTTGGAGCGCTACCTCACATCACATACAGAAATTAACTCAAAACATATTATAGGCTCAAATATAAGACCTAAAATTCTATTTTTTCAGCTTAAAAATTTGATAAAATATACATAAAATTTACCATTTTGACAATTTGTAAGTAAATAGTTTAATGGCATTATGTATGTACATCCGCACTGTTGTGCAACCATAACCACCACTCACCTCCAGCACTTTCCACCTTCCAAAGCTGAAACAGTACTAACTGAGCAGTAACTCCTGGCAGCCACTGTCCTTCCTGTCCGCTCACCTAAGCTATCAGGGCTGTCGATGGAGAAACACATCAGTATGACGTCGGTGTCCGGGTAGGAGAGGGGCCGCAAGCGATCGTAATCCTCCTGCCCAGCTGTGTCCCACAAAGCCAGCTCCACCTGTGACAGGAAACACACGTGTGCAAGGTTACCCCCTCCACTCTCAGAAACTGGCACCATGGCGGTCAGATGGCAGACTGTCTGAACAGTACAAGAGGGTCTCCTTTTATTAGACTCATGCCTGAAGGTGGAGGTTGTGTTTATATTGTATGAGGTAGCAATTCCTCAAATTGAAAACATGCATAATTCAAAATGTCAAGTCAAAAATAACTCTGTACCCTACAAGAACTATTTAATTTTAAGTAACACTCTACATAGGAAAGAAAGCAGAGATGCGTAAGAAGGGAAATTAAACCACAAGACAAGGAAAAAACAGACAGAGTAACTTTTCCTAATAGGTTCTCATGCAACTGTGCCCTTACTTCATCTCGTCACTCTGCTCTGACTCGGAGACGTGGAGACAAGACTGTCTGTGAGGTGGTGGGTAAAGAAAAGACTCCATGCTGGGGGTCAGGCAAGACCTCAGCTGAGGAAAGGTCTCTGGCTCTGCCTGTACTGCTCAAAAACCTCTGAATGGCTGAATGAAAGCACCACATACAGTGGAGGACAAAATGAGGCCCAGCCTCTGGACGTGGGGCCCCTTTCACACGGCCCATCACTGTGGCCACCCTGTCACCTCTGCTCACAACCAGGGGACTTTTAACATCCTCTGCTCAGGGACCCTTTGGGCTAAGGAGCTCTCCCTCTAAGCTTAGAGTGCTCTTCTGAGTGCCCTCGCAGCAGGGATTTCAGTTTGGAGATAACATTCCTTCCTTAAAGTTAATGGCTAATTATCTCTTCCACCCTCCACCTCTGCTCCAGGAGGCGCTACTCCCAACCTCCACAAGCGCACTGCACTTCCGTCACACACATACCCTCAGCCTGGGCTGTGCATCTGTGACACAGTGATGCCCAATCCTCACTCCTGGTCTACTGTCAGCACGGAAAAACTCATTCACTCCCTGCCAGGTCCCACTCCTGTGGGCCCTCCACGCCTCACAGGTGTTCAGCTGGGCACACACAACCCCAGTTGTTTCCTTATAAATGGTTCCAAGACGCTGGGCCCGTGTCCGGTTGGAAGGAGCCTTTGGGTTACAGCAGGACTCTTCCTGGGCCTGCAGTCACCTAGAATCTTGGACGTCCCCCAGGCTGTGTCAGTGCGCACTCTTACACAGCATTCCCGGGCAGCGCCCTCTGCCTTGGAAGCTACTGAATGGCTCTGAGGCGGGCAGCTAGACCACAACAGCATCTCCCAAAGCAAGCACTTTATTTTAGGGTCTCTTCCCTTGGGTGACAGGGCTCTACTATCTTGCCAGGGTCAGACATGTTTAAAGCTGGCAGGGGAAGAAGATACTCATAGACCATCCTCAAGGTGTTAAGTCAAGGTCCCTGTATTTCTTAGGGGTAAGATCTTGCTTGTTCCAAGAAACCAGACATGAATGATGCTTCAAAGAACACAGAGGGCCACTACTGTCCCTAAAACACATGTACTACCACAGGTGGAAGAGACCTTCCCCGACTGATGGTCACAGATGACAGCAACTGACAGCTGCTCTCAGGAAGGATGGTGAGACCGACAGCACACATTCCCTGGGCGTTTAAGACATGCTGTGAAAGTGCCGACCTGCCCCTACTTCTCAGCTGGGCCTTCTGTGCACGCTCAACCACCTACATGAGAAAATGGGGCTGTTATGTGGCAGCAGGCCCAACAACCTCTGTGCTTTCCACCCAGTTTGTCATCACTGGACCCTGTCTACACAAAACCGGTGCAGAGAAACACCTGTATCCAAGCCTCCACACAGGGAACTGACTGAGGTTGAAATGGCAACACTGCACAGATGCAGGGCAGGACCCAGACAAAATTCTCGAGGGTGCAATTTACTGCTTTTCCCCCCATCCATTCTGGGACAGAAAAGTGCCTTACAGTTCCTAACAGCATGAGGGCAAATGCTGTGGCCAACCCTGCAACTGGACAGAACAGCTACAAACTGTAGAGGGGCCTCTGCGTGTGCTGCTGTGCAGCCCCTTCTGTGACGTGCCTGGTGCCTCTGAATGCTTTCACTCACCTCACAGATGCCTGATGTTTAATCCTCTACAAATGAAGGCAGCCCAAAGATGAGGCGGCTTACTTGAGATCACAAAACCATCAGGGACACCTTATGACAAATGACCCTAAGATGCCGAGTGGCTGGCCTAACGTACTTTCCACACACAGGGCCACACAGTGAGGCCAGGGAACACAGGGACAGGAGGGACAGCAGGCAAATGAGAAGGGAGAAAGGAGCTGGAATCACGGAAGCCAGTGAGTTAGGAGCGAGCAACGTGAGGTGTGTGGCGGAATGCCTGAGGGACTGCGTATGTTAGAGAAGAACCCCTTGTTCTGGGGTTTTCTCTTCAGCTGACCCAGTTGCAGTGGGTAGGAAGCCAGGTGAGATGCGATGTCACAGAAGGGAGCAGAAGATAAAAAATCTGTACGGTGCTCTGATTCCACAAGAGCTTTGCCCCGGTTTTGCAGGGGGCTTTCAGGACAGACAAGGGGAACCACTGTCCTCACCACCAACGATAGTAATTAAAGCAATGGTGGCAGCCTGTTTCTGTTAAAGTCAGAATGCATTTTACAAAATTAAACGTGAGGATGTTGTCTGAATGCCACACTGCTGCTGGTGGAGGTTATGCTTTTATAAGCATGATAAATACGGACCTCTTGACCTACTAATCTCATACTTTAGCACTTAATGAAATACTATGACAGAATTAAAAATCCATCTATATACAAAGAGGTTAATTTTAGCATTATCCATTTGGCAAAAAAACTGCATTTCAAATATAAATAAAGCTGAAAGGAGCACATGCACTGAGGCTTCCCCATGTGAAACAGACACAGATGTGGGCAAAGTCTAGAATGACAGCAATTAAAGATGGACAAAACTGGGCTAAGGAGGCAGGAAGAGAATGGATTTCTCATTCTAACATTTTTTGTTACTGTTATATTGTTTACTGAAGAGAAAAAAAGGCCTTTTTTGCTAAAGGCTCTAGGAATATCCTAGCATGCAAAATAGTACCAGCTGTTAGGGAACCTATACTCACCTGCTTCCCATCCACCTCGATGTCTGCCACATAGTTCTCAAACACGGTGGGCACATACACCTCTGGGAACTGGTCCTTGCTGAAAACGATGAGCAAGCAAGTCTTGCCACAGGCTCCATCACCAACAATCACCAGTTTCTTCCGGATGGCAGCCATTGCTGAAACACGAGGCAAAGAAGCCTATTAGCACGCTCCACTACAAAATGCTGGTATACTTTTCCACTTAACACCAATGTCAAAGTAGAAAGCCATAACTAACATTATATGTAATGGCAAAAAGGCCAAAACCTGAACCCCAAGATCAGGAACAAGACAAGGATGCCTACTCTTGCCACTTCTATCCAAAATGACACGGGACACTAAGGTAAGAAAATGAAATAAAAGATATTCAGATTGGAAAGGGAGAAGTAAAACTATCAGCTCAGAGGACACAACCTTATATACAGAAAATCCTAAGGAATACACTGAGAATTATTAAAACTAACAAATTCAGCAAGTTTGTAGGATACAAGATGAGCATACAAAAATCAATTGAATTTTATACATTAGCAATGAACGAATTGAAAATGAAATTAAGAAAACAATTTTGTTTACAACAGCATCAAAAAGAATAAAAACAAATCAATTAAACAAAGGAAGTACAAAACATACCCTAAAAACTACAAAACATTATTTAGAGAAATTAAAGAATATCTAAATAAATGGAAAGACATTTATGGACTAGAAAACAGTATTGTTAAATGGCAGTATTGTCGAAGTTCATCTACAGATTCAACATAATCCCTACAAAAATCTCAGCTGGCCTCTGCAGAAATTGACAAATTGATCAGAAAGTTCACATGGAAATTCAATGGACCCAGAATAGCCACAAGTCTTGGGGAACTCATACTTCCTGATTTCAAAATTTACTACAAAGCTACAGTAATTGAGACAGTGTTGTAATGTCATAAAGATAGACAACAGTCCCCCAGATCAAGGGAATAGAACTGAGAGTCCTGAAATGAGGCCTCACATTTAGGATCAAGTGATTTTCAGCAAAGATGGTGCTGAGACAACTGGGTACGTGCAAAAGAAAGAAGTTGGAGCGCTACCTCACATCACATACAGAAATTAACTCAAAACATATTATAGGCTCAAATATAAGACCTAAAATTCTATTTTTTCAGCTTAAAAATTTGATAAAATATACATAAAATTTACCATTTTGACAATTTGTAAGTAAATAGTTTAATGGCATTATGTATGTACATCCGCACTGTTGTGCAACCATAACCACCACTCACCTCCAGCACTTTCCACCTTCCAAAGCTGAAACAGTACTAACTGAGCAGTAACTCCTGGCAGCCACTGTCCTTCCTGTCCCTATGAATTTCACCACTCTCGCTACTGCATGTAAGTAGAATCGTATAGTGCTTGTACTTTTGTGACTGGCTTATTAGTTCACTCAGCATAATGACTTCAAGGTTCATCCACGCTGTAGCCTGTGCCAGGATTTCCTTTCTTTTTAAGGCTGAATAACATTCAATTTTACATATACCGCATCTTGTTTGTCTATTCATCTGTTGTTAGACACTCAGGTTGCTTTCACCTTTGGCTACTGTAATATATTTATCATGATATACTCTGAATAGTATATTCACAAATATATCGACCACCAGCAAAACCTAAAGAAGAAAACTGGGCTTGATAAAAAATTTAAAATCTTTTGTGCTTCAAAAGGTACCATCAAGAAAATCAGAAGGCAGCCCAAAGAATAGGAGCAAATGTTTGCAAATTAACATATCTGGTAAGAGACTTGTTATCTAGAATACACAAAAAGTTCTTATAGCTCATGGAAAGCAGTATGGAGGTTCCTCAAAAAACTAAAAATGGAAACACCATTTGACCCAGTAATTCTACTAGTTGTTTACCTGAAGAAAACAAAATACCCAATTCAAAAAGACATATACACCCTATGTTTATTGCTGCACTGTTTGCAATAGCCAAGATATGGAAGCAACCTAAGTGTCCATCAGTAGGCAAATGGATAAAAAAGATGTGGTACATATACATAACGAAGTATTATTCAGCCATAAAATGAAAAGAAATCCTGCTATTTGAAGTAACCTGGAAGGATCTAGAGGGTATTATGCTCAGTGAAATAAGCCAGGTGGAGATAGACAAAATACCGTATGATTTCATTTATTTGTGGAATATAAAAACAAAGCAAACAAAAAAGGATTAGACTCACAGACAGAGAAGGGACTGATGGTTACTAGTGGGTGCGGGGGGAGTGGGAGGTGCAGTGGGGGGAGAGAGTGGGGGACTCTTAAACCACTGTGATGTACATTTGATAATAAAAAAAGTTCTTACAGCTCAACAGAAAAGCAGTGTAGGTAGGTGGTCTGGCTCAGGGTTACTCCTGAGGTTGTAATTAAAACGTTGATTTGGATCCAATATATAAGGAACTACAACTCAGTAAGAGGACAACAAATAATCCAATTTAAAAATGGGCAAAGGATCTGACTAGGTATGACCCAGCAAGTCTACTCCTAGATGTACATCTGAGAGAAATGAGAACATATGCCCACACAAAAACTTACAAATAGTCATAGCAGCATTATTCCTCATAGCCAAAAGTGCAAACAAACCTAACGTCCAAAAATGGATGAATGGATAAGAGATAGATCCAGATTAGTATTACTCAGCAGTGAAGGGGGGAGGTACTGATACACACTACAACATGGATGAACCTCAAGAAAGTTCCGTCAGTGAAAGAAGCTAGTCTCAAAGAAGCACACATTGTTGATTCCATTTCTATGAAAAGCCAGAATAGGTAAAGCAGAGACAGAAAGCAGGCTGGTGGTCACCTAGCACTGGGAACTAGGAGAGGAATGGAGAATGACCACTAAGGGAATAGTGGCGTTTCTTTCTGGGATGACAAAATGTCTCCAAAATGATCGTTAAGTGATTGAACAACTCTATGAAAATACTAGACTGCACGGAGCTGTACACTTTAAATGGGGGAATCGTAAAGCATGTGGGTTATTTCTTCAATAAAGCTGTTACAAAAAAAACAAAGAGATGGAGATTTCTTCCACTTACCGGAGACTAAATTAATGGTCAGCCACCTCAATTCCCACCAACCCCTTGGAACAGCTGCCAACTTTTAGCTGTGTGCCTTGTTGCTCAGCTAAAATACTACACTTCTTGGGCTCCCTTGCATTCTGCATGGTCGCAATACAAAGTCCTAGCCCATGAGGTGTAATCGGCAGTTTCTTGTGGAACTTCCAGAAAGTTCATTACAGTGAAGTCACGTGCCCTTCTTCCTCCTCCCTGGTGCTTAAACCCGGAGCCAGGGCTGCCTTTCTAAACAGCCAGCCAGCCTGTAATGTGAGGGTGACTCACACCCTGGGGCTGGAGGAATAAAGGTAAAGGAGCTTCAATCCCAGATGACCCTGGGAGTCACTATCTCAGCCCCAGACTGCCTATCTTCACACTTTTTTCATGTGAATGAAAAACAAGAACTGTATTGTTCAAGCTGGTATATTTCAGGTCTGTTACCCAAAATTAATCCTAAACCATATACACTCACTGAGGAAAGCATACTGTCTAAAGGGAATGTTGCGCAGACCAGAGTGGGTGGAGTGGATGAGACATCCATTGGGGTACATGAAGGAACCATCAGAAACTCATTTTTTTAGCCTAGAAAATATAGGAAATTTAGCTTTAAAATTCAGTACACATCAACTCATAAGCACAAGGCTACACAACGGGAAGGGCTGACAGCGAGTGCAGCCCTCATTCACTTCTGAGTCCTGGCACACCATGACATGGCACACTGCAAGTATGTGGCCTGGCTAGTATACACACAGGCAGGAAGTTTTAGCCAAACCCACAAATGATCCAGGGATTTTTGAAGTTTTTAAATTTTTTTTGCAGAAAAGAAGTAGACTGAGGATCATACTAATAATGAAATCATCAGTGAGCACACACTTAAAGGAGAATGTGCTCAATATGTTTAAATAAGAGCAGGCCACAGTCAAGTACATGAACTGAGACCACTTGAGCTGCAGTCCGGCACTGGGGTCACCACTGGGCTCCAGCCCCTCCACCCCTCTACTTTTTCTCTGAACCCCCGTGAGAGCAGAACCTGCCTCAGAGTCCTGTACCTGCTGCAGTTGAGTTTTGTCTTCCAACCAGATTGCAAATCACCTCAGAGCAAAGAACATACCTTAAACTTCTTGTAGCCCTATGTGATTCAGTACTTTATTGGGCATGCAGTAGGTGTTCAGTAAATCCAGAAATAAAATTTTTACTGAGAAAGGTGAGAAAAATAACCTCATTTGCCCTCCTGTGAAACAGCCCAGGGCACACTGGTGGACGGACTTACCCCCTCAAAGTCTGTCCTCTGTGTTCAGTGTGGCTGCTAACATCTTGGTAGGATTCCTAAGTCAATGTATGTTTTTCTCACCCTCTCAAATTCATGTCAAGATCTTATATACTTCTTCTCTCTCCTCAGGCCTAACCTGTTGATTAGGACCTTACAGGATACAAACAAAATTCATCAGAAATTCCTGGTTCAAGAAAAGCCTGCTACCTCTGATAGCATTCTTCCTAAATGGTACTGTTCCCTACAGACAGCTTCTCTCGATCTAATGTGGCCAGACAAACCAAAGGGGGATGCGAGAAAATTTTCCTTGGGGAACATCTGGTCCAGGAAAAACATAAAATCGTTCTGCCCCTACTGGTGACAAGGACAGAAATTACAAGTGAGGGACAAGATGGAAATGAAAACCTCCAATTACAAGGGGACTTCCAGGAGGCAGGTAGTCAAGCAGTAAAGCCAGAGTTTTTGACAAGAAGGGAAAAGTATAAACATCAGAAAATGAAACGCTATTTTTTCCCTGAAATGACCCAGGAAAATCTTTTACTTTAGCATCTTTCCTTTGCACTTTGCTGTCATCTTGTCGAGCACACAGCCTGACAGCCTGAGACAGGAAGTTGCACCAAGCTCCTGCAGCGGTCTCTCTGCAGATGCATCACTTCCTAGGCTCTGAATTCAGTCTCAAAAATGATGCTGGAGAGCTGAGAGGAGGTTTATTTTCCCAGTCATCATCAGTTGTAACATCTATTTAGTCACATGTTACAGTAGCCAATGACTGTACTGGTTTTACAA